GAACCTTTCAAAGGGCAGCCTACGTAGTCAGTAAATGTTCACGTTTTCTGTGACGTAGTTGCTGTCTCTTCGCGTATGAGAAGGAATGAGTGTTTGTCTTCAGGGTTTTAAAATTAACATCCTTTGATAATCAGTAAGTTAAGCATGGTGGTTGTCAGGTTAATTTTTGCTTCAGACACAAAGACCCATAGCACAACCAAAGCACCAGCTTTTCTGGGACGTGGAAAGGAAGTGTATATAAATAAGTATTAACTTTACTATTAAAAGTTGTTGTTCGACCAAACTCGCACCTTTCTAAAAATAATTTCCTCTTGGTTACACCACAGAACTTAGTTTGGAAAAATGTGGCTTTATGTATTTTTTTACCAATAAAGATGAGTTATAACATCACCATGGGATGAAGCACATTTCCCAAACATAATGCTGTACTGCAACCCTGAAGTGATTCTGTGTGATGTGTGTTTGATGTTACTACAACATTTAATGATGATGCTTTAACTTATTTTTATGATTAAACATTTCCCAAATTGAGTTCTGTCGTATAATCAAGAGGAGATTATTTATGTGTGGTTTAATAGTTTAGTTTTCACGTACTTAAAGGCTTCACATAGAGGCTGATGAACGTTGTCCTGCTCAGAGGACAGCTTGTACAGATGAACAAAAGGTTGTAGCTTGAGGTCTACCTTGCTTGCTTTTGTAAATCAAATGTTCCTCTGATGAGTTATTGACCCGGGAATGCTGAAACTTTGAATGTATTTCCAACTTTACGGAAGTACAGTTTACACCTTTACCACTCGTTCATCGGTAGATAAAGTCTTATTAAATGTTCAAGACTCTGTTGTTCAATCAGACAGAAGAGTAACCCCCTTTAAGTCGCAGCAAAACCTGACATTACCTGATAATTCAAATTCTGTAAATGTCTTCACGCATGTATTACAAGACATGTTGATTGGACTTCAATATAGTGTTCGGTTGAAACCTGAATTACGTTTCAAAAATGTTATTGCACTATAACGCACGACAACCAAACGTTTCTCGTGTGGTTTTGGTCCAAGCATTAATTCTGTTTGTGGTGTTCTCTCTGTAGGTGCAATGCGAGCTCCTCTGCGCTGGGTGCTGTGGGATGTGAAAGACACCTTGCTGAAGGTGCGAGCCTCTGTAGGAGAGCAGTACTGCAAGGAGGCTGAACGGGCTGGTCTGAGCGTCAATCCTGTAGAGGTCCAAGCAGCTTTTCTCCAGTCTTATCGACATCAGTCCAGCAGATACCCAAACTACGGCGTCACACAGGGCCTTGATGGCCGGTCTTGGTGGATGGAGGTGGTGAGGGACACGTTCTCTCAGTGTAGGGTTCAGGACCCAGCCCTGCTAAATACAATTGCGCAGAACCTTTATGATAACTTCTGCGCTGCAGAGAACTGGGAGGTAATGAACAATGACACTGAAGACACACACATAGAATTATTAAGTTGATGTTGGATTTATAAAACCTGTTTTCTTGTTTCTTTTTGTGCTTTTTAAAACAGTCGAAAGAAAACCATTCTTTAGAAATGTTTAGAAAATATCTAGCAAGTGTGTTATGGTTTTTCTTTACTTTTCTCAAAGTGTTTTTAAGATTTATGTTTTCAAAATTGACTTTTTTTACACATTAATGCTTCCATCAGCTTTTTATTTACTTTTTTGCTGTAGTGGTAAGGTAGACCAGGAAAAGTCAACTTGAAATAGTAATGTCTCTGTTTTTTTTAGGTTTTTCCAGACTCAGAGAAGGCCCTTCAGACCTGTTCCTCTCTGGGACTAAAGCTGGGTGTGGTATCAAACTTTGATCGACGCCTAGAAGAGATTTTACGTGTTTGTGGCCTTCTGTCTCACTTCACCTTTCTGATCACATCCGAGGAAGCCGGTGTAGCAAAGCCGAGTCCGGCCATTTTTGATCAGGCACTACAGAAATGTGGTGTGCCAGCTGCCTGTGTAGCCCACATTGGAGACCACTTTGTGAATGATTACCTCACACCTCGCTCTGTGGGCATTCAGGGCTTCCTTTTGGACAGACACAACAAGTATAGAGCCCCTGATGTTCCTGGAGAGCATCGACTCAGGTCCCTGGAGGAGCTGCCATCCCTGCTTCAGCAGCACATGGACTAATGCCAGGCTGTCATGGGCTCACGTGTAAAGTCACTCAGCCAAACTGTGCTTCAGTTAAGGAAACCAAAGTCAGGTAATGTTAAACAGAGAGTCTTCAGCCACTTTAGGACTCTTTACTTATTTAAAAAAACAAGTATCATGGCTTGTAATATAAAAACTACACTGTGTAATTGTCATGCATTTCTACTGCAAGTACATTGGGATCAATAAATATCTATAAATAATACAGTTTCTTAGGGAGCTGCTTTTGTTCATATGATGATTTTAAACGGTTGTGAGACTGTGAGAATGAATATTCTTCAAATTGTATAAAACTACAGGGGCACTCAGAGACCTCTGAAAGGGAAAATAGACCACACTAAGGTCTGTGATGTGCAATTCTGCAGGCAAACTCTCCATCATCGTACTAATCATATACAAGTGTCTCATACTTCACCTGAGAAAAAAAAAACTCCCGGATCATGGCAGCTGTTGTCAGGAACACAAAAAAATAAAAACAAGTCTGATCTGGTCTAGAGTTAAAGGGACCCACACTCGACCCTGCTTATCTTTCCAACATGGTTCATGAAAATCCAGCTAGTAGTAGTGTTTTTTTAAAAGTTATATTTTGGGCAATTTTTACCTTTTATTGGATAAGACAGCTCAAGAGACAGAAAATGTTGGGAGGAAGAAGCGGGAGGTGACATGCAGCCAAGGTCAGAGGCCGGATTGGAACTCACAGCAGCTGCGACGAGGGCTACATCCTGTGTACATGGGGCAAGCATCACAACCGCTACCCTCTCCGGCACCAGAAACATCACCCCTTTTGCAGAGGTAATAATCGTTAGTGCTGATACAAATGCATTTTTTGAAATACACTGCACAAAAGAAAAAGAGACTCATATTAAGAAAATAAATATCTTATTCAATGAATATAAATGATAAAGGAATCACTAGTAAGGATTTAGGCATTAATATGCTCAATGATATCAGGGCAGCAGGGTCTTCTATTGTGTGAGATAAGCTGCAGACAAAAAAAAATCAACAAAACTGAAGCCTCTGAATGTTTTTTTTCTAATAAAGAATGAGGAGTGAGAATTGTGTTCCCATCCCTTACATTCATAAGATGGACTGGATATCAAACTTTGTACAAAAAAACAAACAATAGAAACATACACAAACTTGGACAATGTGTGCACATGAATTTAAATGATGCCATGACTGGTTTGGTTAAAATTGACCCTTTACCTCTGAGCTTTCATCATTCTTGATGATTTGTTGGGGAGCTTAGCAATGAGGAGAACAAGGCAGGGTTGCTTAACCCTAATACCTTTGTAAATACTCTTATTCTCAACCATCTGGTCAAAGGCAGATACTGAGAGTGTTGGGCTGAAGATCAAAAGCGCGAGTAGAGGAAGCAGAGGGGGAAAAAAACTAGCGAAATGGCATCACAATTCACAGCAGAGATTAAGCCTCTAATGGGGAATAGGGGTTGACATAATCCAAATCAGATTGAAAGAGTTCAAAAGAATTCTTCTGGGATTAAAGGCAACACATTTTTCAACTCAGCATTACAGCATGTGTACATACAAAGTATTTTATTTATAAAGTCTATCTTTTCCATGTTGATTCCTTTGCTTTTCTGATTTCATGTACTTCCCTTTCAAGTCTTTTGTTTGTTAAAGGCTATTGTGTGTCTTCAGGGAAGCACCCATAAGAGCTGCTTAATTCAAAGCTGGTTTAGTAGCTCAGCCAGACGGATCTAAAGGACTCCACAGAAATCCAATTGCAGACATAATGGGATTGTGAAACAAACCCAAGCTCCTCATACGGAGAGAGAGAGAGAGAGCGAAAGGGAAGACCCGAGGAGATGCTGATGTAAAGAGGGAAGACGTCAACACATCAAATGGGAACTTAGAAAACAAGAGAATGTATATGGCATCATCTTGCACATTGAACAAAGGCTTTAAGCATTAAAGCGTATACGTTCTGTTAAGTCTAAAAGACAAATAAATAACAAGACATAATGGCGATGCAGAAAAAAACGAGTGAAACATTTCCTTCAGCTATAAAAGCACTCAAGAGTTCAGCTCTTTGTTTAATTGTGCCCGGGGTTCTGAGTTTCACGTTGGCATTTCTCTGGTCTTGAAATATTCAGTGGAAGAGAAAAATAGAAGAGCGGCGCATCAGAAAATCAGGTATTTGAAGAGAGAGAGAGAAAGAGAGAGAGAGAAAATAAAGAGGCTTGGGAAGTGAAAAGAGAGTCACGCGATGTATCGGGTAACAGACTCCAGAGACGGAGTATTTAGAAGAACATAAAGAAAACAGCACACACGCTCGAACACTTGCATTTTTTTTTTTTTATTCATTGGAAATCAAATGAAGATAACAACAGCTTTCCAATTATGACAACATAAATCGGACAAAGTCAAAGCATAAAGTTCTCCTTTACAGGGGACTTTGCAAATGTTCATTTCATATCCCTGTGTGAATTCATTATTTACATATCAATGCTGTAAAAATATTTTACACCTATGCTGATTGTAAATATCATCGCCTACTGTAAACAAAGACGTTTCATCTCACACAGAGTCTCATGGCATAAATATACCATCACATTCATTTTAAGGACTTTTTTTTTTAATCAGATCACACAAAGAGCATAAACACTCTACTGTCAGTTCGAAATCATTGTTTTGTATTCCTGAATCAATTTAGAGAAAATTTTAAATAGTTTGATTTGAATTCTCCATCAGAGGCTTCGATAGTATTCAAATTTAAAGCAGAGCCAATGCTATAACAGAAAACTCTTGAAATAAAAAAGTTTTTTTGTACTTTAAAAAGTCGAAACTGTGATTTAAGTGCATGCATGCTTAGGTGGAAGTGTACGAACAGCATGCCTCTTCCTTTCAGCGCTCATTCAGGCAATGTTAGAAACTAGTGTATTTGGCATCTCTCATTAGGATTTTATTATTTCCACGTGACTACATTGTACCATAAGTGCAGTTCTTTTAAGAATAGAGAGCAAGCTTGCAGAAAAAAAGTGCAACAATATAATAGGCCAATAGGAACAATGTGGCCTCCCTCTGTGTTTGTGTATATGTGTTGTTAAAGTTATAGCACGCAAAATTAAATAAAAAAAAACCTCTCATGCATGAACACATTCAAGTACCGCTCAGGAATAAAAACACAAAACTGACAAATATTGCAGCTTCAGTAAGAACACTGGAGTCCAACGTACCTGTATCATCATAAAAAAAAGCATACTAGAATTCTACGTTGCAAACTCTGTCTAGAATTATTGATTGCAGGGTTTTAATCCATTAAAGTATTCAGTCTTTCACAATTCCTACTCATGTCAGGTGAAGTGAGTTCCTCCTTTAAAAAACAGACACTAAAAAGGTTTTTAAAGCATCAGTTTTCCCACCATTTTTTTCTTAAAAATGTCCTCTGTGCTTCTGATGAAAAAAATGTGCAACATTATTAAAAGACAAAAAGAGGAATTGGGGTTGTCTGACTTAAGAAAATGAATTATCATTGTCCTGCAGTCCGCAAGTAAACAAAGTTCCAATTCAACAGCTCCCACACGATGATGAACGTCCCTGTAAGATCATTTCTAATATCCTCTAGGCCAGCCATGAACAAGAGTGAGGAAACACAGCGCTCCTCTCGTGTAGGGTTCAGCACCAGCTTCATCCTCAGAGTTCAGACTCACTGTTGCAGTTCTGCTGTTTTTTCCTCAGAATCAAAGACAGACGTGAGCACGTTCCTAAGGTTCTGCAGGTCAAAAGTCACTCAGTGGAAAAAATCATATATTACCAGGAACATTTGACCTCTTTGCACATGGCCACATCTCTTCGATCCATACATGTGGATAGCACTTTGGAAACAGTCCTGAGGCTCTGTGCACCGGACACATGAAGAAAACTAAACACGCTGTGATGCATCCAGCTCATGTCCAAGTAAGACGTCTTCTCAAACCACTGAAAGGGAAATAATAAAGCACTATTACTATTTAACTATTTGTTCTATTATTGCCTCCACATGAATGACATGGTCTTCCAAAGATAAGTTGACTATATAGACCGAAAATTGCCCCTTAATATGAGGATCGTCTTTGCAACACAGTCTGAAATAACATTTTACTCTGTGCCTCAAGGCGCCATGTTTGAACCAAACTATTATAAAGGAATCTATGAGCTACATATTACTCTAGTTGTTTCTTCATTAACACAATCACAAACTTGAACTTTACTCAAGTTTATTTAAAATGAATCGATCTTCCTGCCAGATATTAACACTGATCTGCAGCTGAAAATAGTCCCCAGCAAATAAATAATTTTTTGCTAACAACTGCTCACGGAGACAGAAATTGAAAGTCTTAAAAAGACAGTTTAAAGTTTTAAATAAAGCCAGCCTTATACCTTAACCTGTGAAACATAATTTTCCTCTTTAACTGCTGACATCTACAATATACTGTGTTTCAACTTCGACACAGAGATCTTGACCTGCAACTGTAGCTCTACGCTCATCTACATGCAGTCAAAGTAACATATTACGTTTTCCTCAATGCCATCAGTTGTTACATATGCTCTTGAGTTCAGTTATTTGCAACCTAAAAAAAGATGCTGGCGAAAAGATCTGTGAACTTGAAGAATAAATAAATACGGTACCGCTCTCAGAAGGATAGAAGGATGCTCCGTGCTTCTCTGTGACAAAGTGATGCGCGTGCCTCCGCCTGCGACAGTCCTGCCTCCACCAGCAGCTGCCAGGAAACACACAGGTGCTCAAAATCGTTCTTACATAGTTCTCCAGCTTCAGTATTGAAATAAAATTACTTACTGCCCTAAGACTAAAACAGTTTATTGTCTCTCATCCAAAGCTAAAAAAAAAAGAAGATATAATCGTTGTGACTTACTGTAGAAGTGTACACAGCACCATGATGAGAACACATCCGATCACACACAACACCAGCACTGTGGCGACGGTCTGCTGTCTGTGGTTCGTTGCTACTACAGCCAGCAGGTCCGCATGCTCACACCTCATCCCCACAAAGCCCGGATGACACCTGCAAGAGGGACGCAGAATCCCATCAGAACACATCCACAATATTATCCGTCAGTATAACAGTTCAATGCATTCATAGGAAGCTGAAAATGAAAAATCAAAAAAGACACACACATCCCTCAGTGGGTGCTGGATCCAAAAACACAACGAGGTGAAGAAAAGCGAACATTAACCGCACACCTAGAAGCTCCTGCTTGAAGAATTTATTGATAAGTGAAGATCTGAGCAAACGTGCTCTTCCTCAGTCTGAAGAAGAAAAGGTCACTTATAAATGAATCCTTCAAATGTGAGCTCCTTGGTGTGCAGATTCTGTTAGCTTTTCTTTTCTATTTATAGGAGGCTAAAAATACTGTCAGCTGATGGGAAATCCCAACACTTCTAGTTGTTTTTAATATTAAATGATGTAACTACTGTACTAGACGGCGAGAGGTCACTTTTCTAAGAGATGAAAAAACATAAATCAAAGATCTAAATTCAAGTGAACAGACAGTTTGTTTCAGTAACACTTCAAATTCAGGTGGCCATTGATTTCAAGATACTCATCATCATATTTACTGATGATAGGACTCTGTCACTGTCAAACCAGAAACCAGATTGGTGGTTTTCACCTATGTAGTTTTTATGAATGGTGGCATTTTGCTCTTATATGATGCATAATCCAGATCTCTAGTGACCAAAGTCAAGACAAAAATATTCGTAGAATATATGCGGGACAATAACTTACACACACGCAGGCGTATCTTCTAATATCAGGAAGCGACATGTGCCGTGGAAGCAGAAGTGGCGGTGGGAGTCGGGACAGTCGTCAAAGTGAGACCGAACAGCCGCTGCCACAAACTCTGTGAGGGAGGGAGACCAGATATCGTTGACATTTTCATAGAATGTTTTATGTAAGGTGTTTCCTTTTACTCTGTATATGAATCAGTATTATTTGTTGTCGGGAAACACCCATTGTTAGAGGTCCTTGAAGGCATGAAATCTACCCTCAATAACATTATCAAATATAATCTGAGTACAATCAGCCTGACCCACAACATGACAGAGTTAAATATCATAAAATCAACAAACAAAAAAACCTAAGACTGTGGAGACATAAAACAACAACATGTACTAAACCCTAAAGATGACACCCACACCACCACCACTAGCACTCTGAAGCCTTTTGTCACCAATAGCGTGTGGATTCATGCTGGCTTACAGCTTTCACTTTATACCTAGAAGGGACAATCAGAGTCAAGAAAATTGAGACACAGCAAACAAAAACCCTCTGTCTGTTAAGCCCCATTATGGTTCTCAAGAGAGTTCACAGACGAAAAGCAGGAATCAAAACCAGTTTTTCAAGCAGCTATCTCAGTTTTCACTGAACAAAGATACTTCACCAAGGAAAATAGGACATATCGCACAGGTCAGCTGTACAGTCAGACACATTTTCTGCATAACTGACCCAAACAACGTTCAGTGTTCCTCGAGCTTGGAAACAGATGCACAGTGTGGCATTCAGGGTGGGAAGGAGGATGAACATGCAGACAGATATCTGCATTACAGCCTTCGTCACACACTCCATTCCATCGGTAAATGGGCTTTTGGATTGCAGCCTACATGTATTGTCTCCTTCTTTCAGACTCTGTGAAAGCCCTCTGTTGTCCCTGAGGCATCTGCCTACCAACCCTGCTCCCTTCCCATGTGATTTTGGCAGCCAGACAGGAGGAACACTGGGATGGAAACCAACCTTTTGGGCACGTTTAGTTGATTTCAAATGATAATAAAAAATGCCATACTCTCTGTAGGTGCAGCTTTTGTGAAACGAGTGAATGTCCTGCTCATGGATACAGCTCATAACCTTTCATTTATTACAACAGCTTCCCCTCGCTCATTCTAAGAGGATCAATTATCAGTGAGCGCCACACTGTCCGCATGCACTGCAGCTCAACGGGAAGATTCACAGGGCAGAGAAATCCGGCTGTGAGGGCAACACTGCACTTTGAGAGGATCAAGGGCTCCAATGAGGACAGATTTATAAGACAAACTGTGGGTATTTAAAGGAAATGGGTTGACAGTGAGCTTCCACCTTCCCTTGCACATAGACATGACATGATCACAATTTGACGTACTTTTAACTGGAGAGATGTTAGCTGCAGTCGTTGAGGTGGTTGTGGTAGTCGTGCTCCCGCTGCTGGTTGTTCCAGAGCTGGATGTTGAGGTGCTCAGAACAGCAGCGGAAGATATGGTGACTGAAACGCCAGGCTTAACAACTGTTGGCTCTGCTCGAAACTTATAGAAGGAACCTGCATGCAAAGAGACAAAAAAAACAGCCGTTAAAATGTGATCTGATATGAAAAAAATAACAACAAAAAAACCCTGCAAGAGGATAATAGCAGATAATGAATGCTTGATGTGGAGGCAACGTTTCAGCATGAATGGATTATGGTCTTAAAGACTTTTTAATTCTACTTCTTTAAATGACAAGGATGGCGTACTTGTAACTGGAGGGATGGTGGTCGCAGTTGTTGAAAAGCTTGTGGTAGTTGCGCTTCGGGTGCTGGTGCTTTTAGAGCTGCTTGTGGAAGTGCTCGGAGAAGCAGTGGAGTGTGTGTCGATGGAAATGCTGGCTTCAATGATTGTTGAATTGCTGGGCCCTGCTCCAAATGTAAAGAGGGAACCTGCAGAGACGGAAAGTAGCCGACTGTTAATCTGTGATAGATTCCTGATGTAAAAAATAAAGAGGAAGAAACACTGAATCAAAAACAACACCATTGCCAACCACTATCATACTAAAAGTACCTTCATGAGATAATAAAAAATGTATACGTCTTCCTTATGTATAGAGATGTTACCCAAAGGAAAACCAGATGTCACATATCATTTATGATAAAGGGGTTGTAGTCTCCTGATGTACACTCATGATCATGTGACCATGTTCTCAATGTGATATCGATGCTTCATTGAGTAACTGGTACCCAACAATAGTAACAGGGTCAAGCATGCACTTAAAGGATGAGACCAAAGCACTATAAATACAGCAGGTCCTGTCTGAGAAGACACGCAACCACAACCAGAGACAGAAAACAGCACAGAGAGGCTGGTTTGTACAGATACAGAAACATCCTAACAATTATGGTCATTTTAATTCTTCTTTTCTTCACCATAAAAATGTTAACCAAACAGATCCAAACCACACACCCACTTTATTCAAAAGCCACCACAGAGGATAAACAAAATAAAACGGAATATATTGAGGTGGAAGGTATAATCAAATCAATATTGAGTGCCAAACACTTAGCATTTCAATGGGAGCACTGTATTGATTCCTAGTGTAAGTCATAAATAATCCAGTGAATTGATACGTAAATATGAGTAATATTGGACCATTCTAAGAGACCTCATCTCCTATTCATCCCTGATAACAGTTATTTCAAAATTAATGTAAATATTCAACATTAAATGAAGTCAGAGTGAGATGTAGACACATATTAAAGGCAGATTTAGACGCTAAAATCAGCTACTCACCACTTAAAAGGAAAATAGTGTCCCAGAAAATCCGAGTCATCATGACGACTTGAAGTCTAAAATGAAGTAAGTTTGTCTTCACTTCAGAGCAGGCGTGTATTCAGGAACCACATTAGTCATTTGAGCTGGAGGCTGCAGGGCGCGCAGCAGCAGAGACCATCAGCAGCAACAGACGACATTTAATCCAATGATAGCAGCACAGCAGACCTGATGTCGACTCGTGTCACCCAAACGCATCTAATCTACTGACGCTTCAGATTCACGTACCGAAAAAGTAGCCAGGGTCAAGTTCTCAAATTGTTTGTTTGTTTGTTTGTTTGTCCAAAAGCAGCAGTGTCCTACAGGATACCCGAACGTGTAACTTCTCTGCGTTCAATTGAGGAGACTCTTGTAATCCTGTCAGAGGCTGACCAATTAATGACGGAGGGAGGGCGGGAGGGCGAATCAGGGGGAGGAGTGAGGAGCATCGTCTCATTACCATAGACTGTAAATATTACATGTTAATTGTAATAGCCTATATTAAACATTTCATTTTGAAATGTAAAGAACTGAACGCGTTTTTTGTTTTTTTTTAATTTTTTATATGCATCTTTGCTTTTACTCTACTTTAACTCTTGGAATTAAGGACTAACCTAATTCATCTGAAAGAGAGTGTGTTCGGCTTCATAATCTTACTATTTGTTTCCATTACAAAGACGTCCTGCAACACAAATTAATAGGCTTATAATAATAACTTTATTTAGCACTATTTAAAAACATATGTTCAAGAAGTGCTTTGACAGACAAAGTAAATACATCAACTAAAGCAGTGGTTCTCAACTGGTGGGTCGGGACCCAAGGGTGGGTCGCGGAGCTGTTTTTGGTGGGTCGCAAATGTGTGCCTGGGAAAAAAAAGTAATTGAAGCACTTTTTAACATGGTGTACTGTTTCCTTTGTCGTCACTTTTTTTTTGTATCATCTGAGGTCCAAACTGCACAATTTTTCATCAAATAACTGGTTGGAAAATATCAGAAATGTGGCCCCCTGATTTACATGAAGGAGTTAGTGATGGGTCCTGTTGAGAACCTCTGAAGTAAAGGACAACAACAAAACAGTCAGGCCTAAAAGAGAGTACAACAACAATATAAATGCAAATAACAAGAATAAGAAAGATAGAACAGGTTGGTCTCAAAAGGCAATAAGAGCTACAATTAAAATTAAATTAATGATAAAAAGTCTACAAGATGATGACTACAATAACAAATACAGATGAGGGAGGTGATATCAGATCACAGGCACTAAAAACAAAATGAAAATAAAAAACATGTGAAATAAATATCTAAAAGCAACAGAGGACAGAAGAGTTAAACATGAAAGGAAGGAGAAGGAATGGATAAAAGACTAAGAGAAGTAAGATGAATAAAGGAAAGTAAACGTTTAGAGTCTAAAACATTAGAAGAAATTGATTAGGAATGGATGAAAAGATTAAGACTGATACAATTAATAAAGGAAAGGATATATTAAGAAAAACATTTAAACGGTGAAATGCCATAAGAGCAAGTCTATACAAGTGAGTTTTTAGAAGTGAATTAAAGTCACTGAATCTGCTCGGATTATCTCCTCAGGTCGTTCCAAAGTCGAGGAACCCTGATTGCAAAGGAGATTTGAGCCTCGACTAAATAGATTATTTTACATTTAAAGTTTTCATTACATAGGCCTAACTCTTTTCAAGAAAATCAAAAAGTCATGGCATGTTTTTCTTCCTCTTTTTTTGATAGACTAAATTGGCAGTGGAGTTTTCTTCATAAGGCTATATGGCAGCCATTTCCCTCGACAACATGCTAAGATTTTGAGGCTCATATGTTATGAAGTCTTACAGCACATTTCTGTGTTTCCTCATGATATAAAGGGCATCTGACAAATTACTATCATCCCATTCCCACCACCTCTACATTGATAACCAAATGAATCAAAACATGTTTGACTATAAACCATTTTTTACAACTATTGTTGGAAATGAATAACTTTTGAGCTAACATTTCATTTTCGGTGGTAAGGAGGAAAGGGAAGGAAGAAGAGAAAAAAGTACAAGGCAATATAAGCTTGGTTTTGCTAGCCAGAAATGCTAACAGCATTTTTGGTTACTCTTCTGTTAAATATTTACTTATTTACTTAAAGTTACTTATAATTTTACATATTCAATGTCATCTCAGCTGATAATTAATTGATAGGTGTTGAAATAATAGCAGTTTGTCAGATTCCTTTCTGTTTTATGATTCTCAAAATAGCCTAAGGAAATAGCATTAGCCATGCAACCTTTAAGCATGCCTGCAACATCGTAACAGCATTCCCACCCTAAGTTAAATAGGCTACTGGGAAAAAAATGACATTTACGTGGAGAATTATCAGAGGCATGTCCAGACTTTTTTGACTGGGGTGGCCCACCTGAGGCACTGACTTAAACAGGGGTGGCATGAAGTTTGTGCACACCCGCAAATTTATTTAATATATTTACCCTTTCTTTCCTCATTAATGATCTGTACTTGGATAAGACTACAGCAGTCTTTTGTATCACAACCAGAATAGTTGATTTTAGAATAGTCCTGCCTCTGAAACGGTAAATAGTCAATCAGTTTGGGATTTTGGGGTGGCCAATCAGATTTCAAGGGGGGCCCATGCCAGCCCTTGTCATCCCTCTGGACACACAACTGAGAATCATGTGTAGCCTATGCAGAAATTATCTTATAATAAGTAGCATTCCATATCTGATGCTCCATATGCTGCTTAATCCATCTGCTGTGACACTTTGCCTGACACGAAATTAGATTAAGATATATATTGTATTACAGTAGTAGCCTACAAGCACATGCGAACAGGGCACTGTTTTGGTGCCTCTCTCTTTATGAAATTAACTACTCTTACTACTATTGCTACTATACTAAATTATTAATAGAATGTATCATTAAATATGATAAATTGAGGACAATATAATATAAATAGTTTAGTCTAAGTCCTTATACATTTCTTGTCAATTTCGTTTTAGAGATGAAAAGGCATTTTGTATAAGCCTACTAAAATATTAGTTAGATGAGATAGACTATACTCTGAAATTGTTACAATTTGCACTAAAAAGGGTCTGAAAAACAAGTGACTGCAGGTGACTCATCAATATTCAGGATTTCAACAGTTATCATTAAATCGTTATTCATCACTTTACATTAAATGTAAATAAATGAAAGTAACAAAAAAATCAAAAGTCAAAAAATCAAACTTAAATATATATCTAAATCCTATGATACAACCCTATATATTTTAAAGTATTTTACAACAGCTTTCTGTGTTTTCTTTAGTCCCTCTTCTGTTATTCCTAATAAACCCTCAATGCTCAATTTCCTCCCTGCCTCACTTATCTTTTGATTTGGCCTTATCCTCTCTTCCCTATATTTTGTGCAATGCAACATTATGTGTTCAACATTTTCTCTGACTTAACATTCCACACATTCATCTGTTTTACCTAACAAAAACAATGTGTTATTTAACCCTGTATTGTCAAACCTCAGTCTAGTTCCCCTTGTAGGCTACCTGAACATGAATAATTCAAACAACACCTGACGAGCCTCTCTATCTATGCGTCGTAGGTCTACGTACATGGATCATTAGTGTCAGGCAGTTCTTGCCACAGCTCAGACTTATCGAACAAGTTTTCCTATAGTTTGGCACTTAAAGAGTCTCAGTTGGACAATAATTCTCCCACCGTTTGATTTTCACAACTTTCAGCCAATTATCAAATGTTTTACGTCACATGCACGTCTCAAGCGCGTCCTGGAGTGTGTGTTGAAGAGTATAGAGCATCGTTACCGGGAGGGAGGTGAGCTGACCTGTGTGCTTAACTGACGGACTTCGCAAAAGTCGTTTCTTCTTTTACCTTATTTACCAACTTAGATTGACGATGTCGTCGCATGCTGATGAACACAAGGTAAATTACTACATTTACGTTATGCAATAAGTATCCAATCATTTTTGTTGAATTTCTCTTGTTATTTGCAGATCCGTGAAGCATTATGCAAAAATAAAGTCTAGCAATCAAGCTTAATAACTCTGTGGCTGTTTGGCTGTATTGTATATTTTTGCTGATTTTAAATAGAATGGAAAAATGTTTATCTACCTGTCTATCTACGTTAACAGGGCAGTTCTCTGACATTGGTGTTAATGGTTGCGTCTGCAGCCTTTGGAGGAACTCTTCAATATGGCTATAACCTAGCAATAATGAATGCCCCCACAACTGTAAGTTTCCATTGCCGGAGTGTGTATGCACTTGTGTGTTCATGCATGCGGAATCAGATTTCCAAGTGTTTGCAATAAGGGTTAATTAATCAAGCAAGCGCTGTTGCCAAGTACCTGCTCATTGGTGGATTAATGTTGGGTCTCTCTGTAAATAATAGCTTATTTCGCTTGCTAAAAGCTTATTTTGTGATGAGGCACCATATGAATGTAAAAATGATTGACTTATCAGCAGTAGATAGGCTACATAATCTAGAGCAAATACACCTTGGGGTTTCAAACAATCTCATTTTGGTAAATTAACACTGATGCTGATGTTCATTGTGTGTGTGTGTGTGTGTGTGTGTGTGTGTGTGTGTGTGTGTGTGTGTGTGTTGATACTCTTACACACTGTCTAAAGCAGCTTAATCTTATTTCAAGTTTTTGACGGCTGTGGATCAGTGGTGGAGTCAGTTGGGAGTCAGGGGTTTGATCCCCAGCTCCTCCTGCAGCCACACTTCACCCCAACTTGCTCTAACTGCTTCATCAGCGGTGTGTGAATGTGTATGAATGGATTAGTTAATACTCATGGACACTTTACATAGTAGCCTCTGCCAGCAGTGTGTGAATGGGTAGGTGTGACCTGCAGTGTGAAAAGTGCTTTTGAGTAGTCAGAAGACTAGAAAAGTGCTGTACAAGCTCATACCAATTAACATAAATTGACATTTTGATTCATTAGAATAATGGTGAAACAACGTAACTCTGCCATATTCAGAGTGTGTCCTCTCTCTCTGTTAAGTGAGTAGATCATTTAATTTAACTGATGAAAATGTAAACAAACCGTCTGACTGAGAAATGGACTCAGAGGTAATAAGTGTCAGCTTTTGTGTATGCTTTGATTACGTGTGTGTGCGTGTGTTCGGTTAACTTGGTGATGTTTTAACATTCTTGTCTTTCTTTACAGTTTATTCAAACCTTTATCAACGAGACCTTACTGGAACGCTGGGACATCCAGCTGGAGGACTACCAGGTGACTCTGGTCTGGACATTTATTGTCTCCATTTTCTCGTTGGGGGGCTTAGCGGGGGCTCTTATCGCAGGACCTATGACTATACGCTTTGGGAGGTAATCAATGCAGATCATTATCCACTGATATTTTCATTGCGATATGCAGTGATACAACTGTTCATTTGCAAATCTTGGAATGATTAAGGAAACATTCAGTCACATTTCTATTTAATGTGTGCGTACATATGACCCTGGATTTAGTTTTAACCCCCCATAAAGACAGATGCATCACATAGCTTTCATACTGCATTATGTTCCCGTTAACCGCCATATTTGTTCCCTTTGTAAACAAAATACACTACAAGACTTAAACAAACATTGGATTGCCCATTTCAATACCATACAACTAACGGACCCTGACTTTTTTTTATTGAAGGGCATTCTTTGCTACTGAGTATGATTTCTTTGAATGGTCAGATACAATAATTCCACTTTAAAAAGCTAAATGAATACCCTAAAGAGTTTGACACAAACTTACTTCAAAAGCCAAAAACTAGAAGTTATAAAACACATCAAAAATACTTGAAACACAGGTAAGCAAAGGTCTGGCATTAGACATGGGAACCAACATACAAACAACCATGAACTGACCCAGAGCGGACGAAACGCAGAGACTAAATAGACATAGGGTAATCAGACACAGTTAAGACTAACAAGACACAGGTGAGGACAATCAGGGCAATCACACTGGGAAACACACAGAGGCAGGAATAAAATACAAGAAACACTGAGGACAACTACAAACTAAATCATGAAACACTGAAGACACACAGAACTCAAGAAAGTAACAAAAACACACTAGAACATAAAGAAACACCAGGGTACGAAGTTACAAAATAACACACGAAACACTAAAGACTAAACTATGAAACATTAGGTCAAAAACACACAAGGGAAACAAGCAACACTTGGATAAACAGGAGAAATCAAAACATGGAAACCCAAACGCCGAAACACAAAACCAAACAAGACCAAATCATGACACAAGGGACGTTAACAGAGGGCACAGAATCAAAATGTATCTTAAGGCTACAACCAATCAGAGCAAACAAACATGTGGCCTAGTACAATGCTGTTAGGCTAGGTAGCTTAGCTAGAGTCCTGATATCTGATATATAAACAGTGTCTTGTTGCTAATGGACATATACATTTGCTATGATCTGATTTAGGATTTAGTTTCCAGCAGTTAACTTTTTTTTTTTTTACATCAACTGTCTTCAAGTTGGTTTAATACAGACAAATCGTCAGTTCAGAGCCTTCCACATCAGCGACTTCCCTGTTGTATACAATAATGCACAAATGGCTCTCCTATGTCATTTATTGCATTCAACTAGACCCATATTAGATGAACAGTTTGGCAGATTGGCACGTGCTGAATCAGGTTGAATGAAAACCTTTGGTAACAGCAGGGGGATCAGACATATCTGCCAGAGCAAATAAAACATGAGTGTGCAAATCGCTCTGGTTCTCCAGCCGGATGGTTTGTTTAAGGTCCACCCAAGGTAAACTACAGTTCTAATGTTACATCACAGTAAATGCACATGTTCACATTGCAACAGTGTTGCCCATTTATATGTTTTTATTACATTTTCAGACAACAACAGACCTCTATGGAAAAGAGAAAGTAGAATCAATGCATGATTAGGATTTTAAAATAATAGATCTACCCTCATGGGTTTCCTGAAATATGGTCATACGTCAGTCTAAGACTTGATTACGTACAACTTAAACTCTAAATTACAACCAAAGGTTGCTCCAAGTATATTTATTGTATCCTCTTTTCTTTTCACCAGGAAAAAATGCCTGTTACTGAACAACATATTTCTCATGGCCGGTTCACTCTTAGCTTTGACGAGCAGATCTGCTAAGTCTTTTGAGATGATCCTCATCTCACGTGTCCTGGTTGGAATAAATGCCGGTATGTCATTAGTGTCAATAAATTATTAACGTTTAACCTCTTATGCTGTCATATAATCCTCTGAAAAACTGGGTGTTCAATAAGTATGTAAGAGACTGAAATGAGAGCTGAGGTCATTCAAGACATTTCAGTGATAATGATGAAGTGATGGTAAACCAACTTTTTGTTGTTGTTGTTGTTGTTGTTGTTGTTGCAGGTATCAGCATGAACGTGCAGCCAATGTATTTTGGAGAAAGTGCACCAAAGCACTTAAGAGGAGCTATCTCTTTGTCATCAGCTGTTTTTACAGCGTTTGGTGTTGTGTTGGGACAGGTGGTGGGACTCAGGTATAACACATTTACCTTAAAAAAAAGTATGTGCCATGTTGGAAAGCTTTTCCCAATAACACAATGATTTAAAAATGTTTATGGATAGAGAGATTTTGGGCAGTGAACCATATTGGCAGTATCTTCTTGCCAGTAATGCCATTCCCGGCATTGTGCAACTTATGACCCTGCCGTGGTTCCCAGAGAGCCCCAGATATCTGCTCATCGACAGGGGGGACAAGGAGGCTTGTATTAATGGTGGGTATTGTAATATGTCAAACTGTGCTTAAAGGTGGTTTATGTACTCAGGAACACTAAACAGTGCACTTCCTCAGTTTAAACTAAATGGACCACACACAGACTGATAAAAACAGTGGAATAAGGTTAAACTCCACTTGCTGTTCTGCCTTGTCTCTCCTTAAATTTCCAAGACAGAAAATTGCATTCAACAGTCGTTGTAATTCCTTCAAACTTTAAACAAGATAACACATCATCAATATAATCAAAAACAATACCAATTTGGATGCTTTAAGAAAAAGAACCGGGAATATAACTGCCTCATGCTGGGGCGCCGGTTGGCCTTGCGGTTTGCTCACTCACCCCACGAACAGAGGCCATAGTGATTTTCTACTTGATTCACTGTTCTGCCTCTTACACAAAGGCATATATAGCCACGACATATATCTATAAAAAAAAAAAAAACCTGCATTACGCTGTACCACATTTGGCATCCATCACCCAAGCTGCCCTGCAGTGAGCCTGGAGCTTCACAGACACTCAAAATACTGTTAACTCTGCACATGCCATTATAATGTACACTTATTTGTATATAACATAAACACATCCTCACATCAGAGATATACAGAAGAGAAAATGATCTAGTATTTATGGTGTGTGTTCTGTGGGCAGCTTTGAGGCGTCTGCGAGGCTGTGAGGTCCAGAGCGGGGAGCTTGAAGAGATCCTGCAGGAACAGGCTGAAACCAAAGGCATGAAGCCATGCGGACCATGGGAACTTTTCACAGATCGTTCTGTGCGCTGGCAGCTAATCTCAGTCATGATCATCAGCAGTGCCATGCAGCTCTGTGGAAATGATTCAGTAAGAAGAGCCGACTCTCTCTTCCAAAACAATGGCATCAATGTCATTATCAGCAAGATTTTTACAAAGTGTTATGTGTCTCTGAGATGTGGTTGGTGTCTCTTTAGTAAAATGTGTATCTGCGTCAGTGATACCGAGTATCTGATATTCTTTTGGCCAGAGTTTCCCTGTGCGCTGTCAGGGTTGATTAGAAATTTGAGATGATCCGTCAGAATGTCCTGTTGCGTCCAGGTTTTCTTTATGTCCCTGCAGGTCATATTAATAATGTACACTGGGGATGAAACACCCTACCTTACACTGTACCACAGTTTACATGAGCTTCTTGTTTTGAATGTGAATATAGGGCTAAGATTATTCATTAGTCAGTTTCATCGTGTATAAACATCAACAACACATCTAAACCTTATAGACCTGCCACAAATGTCCTGCTCATTAGAAAAATGCTGACTTAACAGTAGTGTGTTTCGAGGATTTCGACAGCATGCCTGGCAGCTCTCGGAGGGTCACAGGGTATTAACATAGTTGCTCTTTGTACAAAAATCAGGCATAATCGGCTTACCACTTGTAATGCGGTACTTTTATGTATTCTTGTGTTCTATCTCTTTCAGATTTACTTCTATGCATACTATGTTTTCAAAGAGGCTGGAATATCTGATGATCAAATCCAATATATCACCATTGGCACTGGGACGTGCGAGTTCACAGCCTGTATAATGTGTGTGAGTGTCCAGTATTGAAACATGTTATGTAACCAGCTAGTGTTTTGCATTCCTCTAAAAGAGATTTACAACTAATTCCAGCTCTGCATTGTACATAGAACAGGTTTAACATTTCATTTAACAAATTAAATCACTTCAGCTTATTATCTGTTACACTTCCCACGGTACTTACACTTACACACATTTATTGGTTGGTTACTACCAAACGAATGAGAAAGGATTGGATCAGATCAGACACTTATTTCTAAGAGAAAAGAAGCAGTTCCTGTATATCTTTGATTCGGCATCATGTTTGTCACTCAAACTGATGTGTTCATTTTAATGTTTTCAGAACCTGCTAATCGAGCGCAAAGGTCGGAGGTTCATGCTGATGGGAGGGTTCATCCTCATGACCGTCTGGGCTGTAGTCTTCACCATCGCTTTGTGTTTTGAGGTTCAGTATTTTAAATCACTTATAAAACCTACACACCACAATATTTCAACCCAATAGTATTTGTAAGGAGCTAGTTTTACCTATATATATATATATATATATATATATATATATATATATATATATATATATACACACACACACACACACACACACACGAGTATCTGATATTCTTTTGGCCAGAGTTTCCCTGTGCGCTGTCAGGGTTGATTAGAAATTTGAGATGATCCGTCAGAATGTCCTGTTGCGTCCAGGTTTTCTTTATGTCCCTGCAGGTCATATTAATAATGTACACTGGGGATGAAACACCCTACCTTACACTGTACCACAGTTTACATGAGCTTCTTGTTTTGAATGTGAATATAGGGCGCTGTCAGGGTAAAAAAAAACATTTTTTACGCACCATGGTAAAAAAAACATTTTTTTTATTTCTATAAAAAAATATTTTTATAAAAATTCATTCAAATACAACCACAGAGAATATCCAAAGTAGAAACACATAGCAACAAATAGGAGGTGTGGTTGGTAACAGTACATCCAGTGATGTTCCCCGTTTACTGAATTATTTTAGTGTGTCAGTTAATCCACTAGGGGGCATCATGAGTCAACATGTGTCTACCACCTCACCCATCCCTAAAATCAATTGTCACAGTACTATGTGCACTCTTACACACCTACACATTTATAGATGCATACTCATACATTAAAAAAAAAAAACAATTTATTTAATTCCAGCTTTGACCAGTTCTGATTATTTGGAGTAGACTTTGCTGTCCTCTAACGCTATTTCTTGTATGCTTTGAATTGTCCAGCACTTCTATTGTTTTCTTATTTTTAAACAAAAGAAACAAAAAGAACATGTTTTGTTGTAAGGGGTTTATAATCATTACCTGAATGGTATTTTTGTTTTTTGTTTTTTCACTCACCTCCTCAACATGAAAACAGCACTACATATCCTGGATGCCGTACTTGAGTATGGCCTGCATCTTCACCTACATCCTCAGCTTTGGCATGGGACCTGGTCAGTTTAACTTTTATCTAAAAGTGTTTTTAGAGGGGGGGGGGTCTTATTATAGTATACTTTATCAAAATGGAAGAATGAAACAAATCTTCTCTCAATCATGCCATCAACATGAACTAGTTAAAAACTGAATTCTGTTCTTCACATTTTGGTAAACATCATATCATATCATCACATCTTTGAAACAGTTTGAATAATTTTAAGCTGAAGCTTTACTATTAAAATGTAAGAAAACTTAAAATGATAAATATATCTCCATAAAATTACAACAATTAGGGCCATTTAATCCAACTGATGCTTACAGTAAACACAGTCTCTCCTTACACATCTCAGTCAAATAGTCATTTATTGTTTAAAAAAAGGCTAGCTGCAGAATATAAGTAATAGCAATGTTTAGGCTTTAGCACTGAGTGGACAATAAGGTTTTAAAGAGTGTCTTACTACATAGACCTGCTGAAAGCGAACTGATATGGGAGAGGATTCAACCTCATGCATGTGCAGTAGGGTATATTTGACAATCTTTCATTTGTATAGGCGTGGTAATGAAGCTAATTCTGCTCAATGTGTTTTATATTCACTTTCAGCTGGTGTGACTGGCGTCCTGCCAACAGAGATCTTCAATCAAACGGCTCGGCCAGCCGCCTACATGATCGCTGGCTCCATGATGTGGCTCAACCTTTTTATAATTGGAATGATCTTCCCTTTTCTAGTGGTCAGTCTGTAGCTTAAACCATCCAGCTGTCAGTGTCTGTGTTTATATCTGTCCATTCAGCCATGTTTAACAATGATGGCACGACTAAAATAGTTTTTTAGTCCTGCAGGTTTAAACAGGCAAAACAACACTTAAAAATGCTCTGAAAAGGATGCTCATGGTTTTATCTAGGTTCTCTGCCAAATCATAGAGTTTTAGGTTTTTGCTTTATTGACAATAATATAAATACTTCAATACATTTACAAGTACAGTTAACATACAGCCTTAGTTGGATAAGATTTAGGGGTTTATATCAAGTGTGACAGTATTCTTTCTTCTTCTTCCACAGAGTGAGTTGAGTGAGTACTGTTTCGTGCCTTTCGCAGCAGTCTGCCTGTTGTCTGCGCTGTATGTCGGCCTGTTTCTGCCTGAGACCAAGGGCAAGTCTCTGTCCGCCATAACCAGTGAATTCCACAAGATGAACTTCAAAGGCCAGGACAAAAAGCACGAATCGCAAACTCAAGCTCAGTATCAGCTGGGGGAAGTGTGTCATTCCACGGCCTTGTAGGCTATGCTTAACCGATTGTAACTGATTGAGAAATTACAGGATGGTCAACATGAGCAGTGGTAGTCATCACTTATTTATAAAAGTGTTTGTAGGTGAAGAATGGGGAACTCTTTAAAGTTTTTTCTTGTTTTATTTGCACCGTTGTACAGTTTTACCCATGTTACAGGCAAAGTTAGTGTCTGATTATCCTCTAATTTGGGAGTCCAAAGGTCAGGTTACTCTACACATTATATCTAGATATAGAAGACTTTGTTGTGTGGTAGATGGTGAATCTTGTAAAAGAGAATGTAGTTTAAGTCATGGATCTTCATTTTGAGCAGTCATGCTTTGTGTAAGGACTTTTAATTTGTTTTTTTACAAGAGTGGAAAGTGTGCAATAATTGTTTTGCTTCATGTGAAGAATTTTTCATTGAGCTTATTCATGGAAAAAGGTGCCTTTCACTTAAAGTAATATAAAAAAGTCACATCAAATTTGTCTCCCAAGTGTCCAAAGAATTGAGACATTTTAAAAATGACATTTACCACATGTTCGATTGGCGAACACAGATGTTGCTTTTTATCAACACACACACATTCACACAAACATATTCTCACTACAATAGTTCTTTAAACGTCTTTTCTTTGTCAAAGGATTTCACCTGACAAGCAGCCAAGTATAAGACATCTGTATCCTCTGGTTTCAAAGTTGTTTTTATTTAAGGATACACTCTATGCTACATACTGTATATGTTCACGTTTTATTTATATGAATAGAATGTATTCCAAATATGTAGGCTAATTGTCAGGAGAACAGGAGAAACAGCTAGGAATAGCGAAAAAAAAGCTTTATTTGCTGTGTTAATATTGTCTAAGTAGCTAGCTAGCTAGCTGTCACAGACATGGCTCTGCTAGCTTATAGTTCAAGCAAGCTAGCTTCCATTTTTAAGAAAAACAATAATTGATCTGTTTTATAAAATGGATTTCTTTTAACACAGAATGTATTTTGTGATTCTGGTTGCATTTTGACAGTGCTCCCGGATAAACCATTTTAACATTATAGGCTATTGGTAAAACATTAGGGGGGCCACTGGACAAGCCCCATTTCTTTCTGAAGTTGTGTATTACCTCCTAACCAGTATGTCCTGCTTGTACTGTGTCTCTTGTTATTGTTCTATTAGGTTTTTAAAAATAAAATACAACTTAAAAAACATGAATCTATCAACCTTCACATTTTTCAAAAGGGTGAATGGAGTCTAAACTAGATTTTGACACATTACGGCATTTGAACATATATTATACTCAACCAGTAAGTATTTGTTTTTTGTGTTTTATAAACTTAACAGTTTTTATGACAAATTCTATGTCTTTCCACTTACCATTGTGATTCTTTAAGTGTCATTGCACGGGATGCCCTGCCCACTTGTATTAAGTGAACTTTTTTCCCTTTTCAAATGCCTTCTCAGAAATGTGTAAGCATTGGTTTTGTGTTTTCATTCCTTGAAAAGAGAGGTTTATTACTGTCCCCATATGCCAAGTGTCCCATTTTACCAATACTCAACCTACATGTTGAATAACTTTGAGAAAGGATGTTTTAAGCCATTACTGTTAGACTGAAGCAAAACAGCACCTACACCTGCATCCCGTGCATCCACCTGCAGTTCAAAATGTGGGCCATACAATAATAATAATAATAATACATTTTATTTACATGTGCATTTCAAAACTCAAAGACACTGTAGATTTGTTAAAAAAGTCAGAAGGATCAGAACAGTAAGGACAGACTAACAGACATTACACACAAATCATAAACACAACAGCTACAGATAAACAGAACACACATACAAGATGCTGCAATGACAGGAGCTGGGCACAAAACTCTTAACACTTTACACCAGATGTACTTTCTATAGCTGTAGCTTTAAATCTGTCAATATACCTACCACAAAGGAAAACATTCTGCAATACCAAGACCCCAGGAGAGCCAAAAACGGCATCAGCTCCCTCTTTGTCGCAGGGACAGGATATTGTTCAATGGTTGCAACCTTTTCTTACACCAGCCGCACCTTCACTTTACCTACCACCTTACCAGTGCCTTTCACCTTAGCAGACTCACTTTTTGCTAGGTTGACTGTCAGGTGGCTATAGACAAGCCTCCTCCCTAATCGAGATAAAAAGCACAGTGATCCAGCCTTGAAAAAAAAATGTGATCGTCAAGCGCTGAAATGTAAAAGATGCGCACCACAAACCAAAACTCATCACTATTCCTTTACACATTGCTATTCTACAATGAATTAAACAAGTACCTTTGTACTTACCCATTAAATATGCAACAATCAATACTGTGCAGAATAAGGCACTCAACCTTTTTGTATTTCTTTTTGAGTTGAAGTCGCTTCATTTCAACCACTTTGGAAGCTTGAACTGGTGTCCTAGTGTGTGATTCGCATTGCAAAATCACAAGAGGCCAATAAGCATAAAAGGAGGCACTCCACACACAGTGTAGTGCATTCATTGTTTTAGGCCTGAGTGGGAAAGTGACATTTGTCAGAAAGAAGACTCAGGCTGTATGAGTCAGTGAGAGGTTTTTCTGGGGGCCGCTGTAGCTCAGTGGTAGAGTCAGTTGTCCCTCACCCAGAAGTTCAGGGGTTTCATTCCCCAGCTTCCCAGGTTTTACGGGCAGGTTTGGACACTAGAGTTTGTTCAGAGATAAGTTAGTGTGGAGTACAGTGTGTCTGTAGCCTCATCTGTTGAGTATGGCAAAATCCTTACGGGCAGGCATGGCAGCCAAGACCTCATGAGACAGCTGAGTTGGTTTAAGGGATTGGATGTTTTGATGCTATGAAACTATTTGTGGCAGTGCCTGAAGGAATTTGTGAATTGAATGAAGAAGTCGGCTGATAGATGCAGAGGGGTGACAGTCAGGTTTGCTGTCAAGCACCTACTTGTCAGAATCAGATCAAGAGTATTGCCTGCTTTGTGGGTTGGAGGAGTGGGGGTCTGCTTGACGTCAAATGAGGAAAAGAGAGCGAGTAAATCTGTTGCCTGGGCTTTATCAGTGTGGATGTTCATGTCTCCCATGACAATCAGAGGTATTCCATTAACAGGGAAATAAGGATACGTGTTCCACCTCCATGTTCAACAGAGCAGGGTGTTTGTGAGAACACTGTGTCAACAGAAAGAGCAGCTGGATCTATGTTTGAGTCGCAGGACCTAACGTTTTACAGTAGGCCTCCAAAAAATTGCATACAAAAGCAGTTGTGTAATCTGTTACTCAACGCTCTGATGTACACAGTATTCTTCCTTCGCTGTAATGTAAACATTACTGCAGAAGATGTCAGATTTTTGTTAACATGATTAAAACATTTCAATAAATTCAGCCCACAAATATTTGATTGCAAGTTGTTGTCTTTTAAATGCAGGGGGGAAACCAGCCTTAACACGCAGATAAACGAGATAAAGACAATAAGAATGATTTAAGTACAAATTTAAACACTATCATCACACATTGTTTGCTGTAGACCGCAATCTGAAAAAATCATTAGTGCATTCCTGATGGTACTGCTGTAGTGCGGTTTGAACGTTTTACACCAGACATTAGGTCCCCTCCTACTCGGTAATGCCTAACCAGAAGAAAGAGTACACCGACAGAACATGTTTGTCACTATCACATGAAGACCACGTTGAATCAAGTGCATCATCACCCACGTCAAAACATGACGGTAATGCTCTAACAACATGAATGAACAACTCAAGTTCCATTGATGTGTAACTTCAGCGAGAATGCCTCATATAGGCTCGTCCTCTGCATCCTCAACAGTGTACATCAACTGAGAGTGCAGAAATGGACAGTGCACCAGGGAAGGTAAGATTACACTATGTCATTACAGTGCTGCCTTTATTGAAAACTCTTTACTGAAAACTATTACTGCAGAGTAACTAAAAAAACACCATGTATCAATTGAACTGTTAGGGCACTTTTTTGGAAGGTAAAATCAAAAGAAGGCAAATATTTAAACATCTAAAAAGTTAATACAGAAAACACAAGCACAAACTTTAAACTTAACTCGTCTTTAATATCTGCATTACTTATATTCAAATGAGTAAAAATGTGAGTGAAACTATTCAAGAATATTGCACATGAATCATCAAATCCAAATTTAAAAAAAAAAGAAAACAATTAAAGATAATAGATAAATTCTAAAAAAGATAGGTTACTATGGAGATACAGAATGCATTTATAGCTGCTTATTACTGTAAAAAAAAATGTTGATCGACCAGATTTGATTATTTGTGTGTGTGTGTGTGTGTGTGTGTATTGTTTTCAATTAAAAGAATAGTGTCACAAAAAGCCTGTTTTTAGATGTTACTTAAATTTTTAATTGAAATTTCTGATCCGAACTTCTAAATATACTTATTTCTATTATACTTTGTGGCAGGAGAAGATCCGTATCAAAGGAAGGGCTTTAAAAAAACTCATAAAACTCATTGTATCTACAATACTTAGTACTAAAACATATCTCACTGCAAGGACTCAAACGTTGTGAGCAAGTGCAGTTCTTTTTCAGATTTTTTTTTTTCACTTTTAGAATTAGTAACTTTAAACTCTTAAATATAATTAGGAATTATTCTAGTTTAAGTCTAAACCTTATGTGCCTTGGGAAATGTACACTCAAAGGTTTTCATGACTCTCAACAGTTCAATAGACGGTAAGGTTACTGAATAATTGTTTTTCACTTTACATCTCAGCTGCAGTATTGGAGGCTTTATCTGCTGTCAATGGTTTTGGGAATTGGAGGATCGTTTCAATATGGGATACAAGTTTCCGTCATTGCTTCTCCAGCAGTGGTAAGGTTTCTGTTTCAAAGTTTTAAACAGTTTGATCCCCTTCTTTGTTACTCACTTAAATGTGTGCACACTATGGCCAAGGTCAGAGAAGGTAAAACAAGTTAGTTACTGGCTGGAAATATATCAGCTGCAAGTCAAAATACAATAGTATTCATTATTTCCTACAAGTGTGGGGTCGCACGAGATCTAAACATTTTATTACTTGACTCACATTCTTATTCATGTCTTAAACTTGCTCTCATCACCCTCTGAACCCTCTGAAGCATGTTCAGAGTTTCGTGAACCACACGTGGTTGTCAAGATACGGCGCTCCTGTGGACGATTCTACAAACCAGCTCATGTGGTCCTTCATTGTGGCTGTGTTGAGTCTTGGAGCATGGGCTGGGGCTGTTCACAGTGGTAGCCTTCCTGTCACTTATGGCCGGTGAGAGACAGATAACCACATATAACACAGTTTTTCTGTCTTATAAAACATGTGTGGGGCTAAATAGGTTTGAACACTATGTTCGAGTGATACGTGATGTCTCTGTTTGTCTAAACTCTCATATGCCAACCATTCTAAGAAATTATTACAATGCTTTGATAATAATCTGAATAAACTACAAACCGGAATAATACCAAAATTAATGTTAGACTGTTTCATTGTCAAAATGGCCATGATTATGTAAAAGCAGGGATCATTCTATTCAATTTAAGGTCTTAGTATCAGTTCCTGAGAAGAAAATACACTGGTATTCCTAGAGAACAGGCTATACTGAAATCTGTTTTATACAAGTGGCCTCAGTGGTCAAAAAGTAGAGCCAATACGGAAATGCAAAAAACTGCAGTTCCTTGAGTGTCTACTTGAGGCTGCCTCTGAAAGGCAAGAAACCCCAATTTGAGCCTATATCATAAGACTGACGACGAAATCGAAAAACTGCAATGTGGCATGCCCCTTTGCTAGCAGCAGCATGCTAGTGTTGTTCAAGGCATGCCAGTTTTACATCAACATGGGCGTTCAGTTTTGTGACACGGTACTTGGCACCACAAGTTCAGTCTTCTGATGTGGCCCCTAACCATTTTTTCCCTTAACTCATCCATTTTGATTATAATGAGGCAAAGTTTTATGCATTAGTAGTAAGTGTTATAAAGGAAGTGGCTAATGGGAACTTCAGGCGGGCGTGTCGTAGCTGTTTGATAGGAGGCTACTTAAGCTAAATTATATGCTGACCAAACTGTCAGCTCTGTTCTGTTTTAGTCGTTCAGAATAAGTCAGCTACATGTCAAGCTAGGTGAGCTAGATTTGCCAATTTAAACAACCTCAGCCAACCTCATCTCTGACTCTGGTCTGTTTCCGGATTAGCCGGAAGTTAGTTAGTTGGAGTCAGCATTTCCAATATGGCTCTTCCCGTAGCTTAAAAATATGTGCCTACCTGCATCTGACAATAAGACAGCCTAGCAAATAACTTCTTGCAGATCATTGTGCTAAGCTAAGCCAATAGGCTTATTTAACCAACATTAGAAAAGTACTTTTTATATATATCAAATGATTGTTTAATGTTTCCCTTGTAATAGTTTAAGAGTGGGTGTCTTTTTGTTATGATGACCAATGGACAAAACTGCAAACACAGCAAAGTTAAGTCAAGCCACAGCAAAGACAAAAACAAATGTGTATATATATATATGTTGTAAATGAAAAATCTATATAGCTTATGATCAATGAAACCATAGTGGGTAACCCAGGGTATAGAAGCATCAGGAAGGTAAAGACTGGGCTCAAAATCTTCAAATCTTCTTGTGACTATAAAGTATTTTACCTAAAATGCAAAATGTTGAACTAGTCATTTTATAAAAGTAGATTCGGGTTTTACAAGCTTGTACTACAAAAAGGGTAAATGACACCTTTTGGACTGCTCTTATTGATTATGTTCATGTCCTTGAATCCTAGTTAATCAGATCTTTGGTTTTTGATTTTGCAGGAAAAAAGCTCTGTTGTTCAACAACATTGTGGCGATTGTCGCTGCTCTTCTCATGCTCTTCAGTCGCATGGCCAAATCATTTGAGATGATTTTCCTGGGAAGATTTCTGTACGGGTATAATGTGGGTATGTACTGGTAATGCATAGTGAGTGTGAGTCTGTATAATGTTCCATTTATTATTTGTCATGTTTTTGGTTGTCTTCTTCCTGTCTTTTTTCACAGGTCTTGGCTTAAGTGTACACCTCATGTACCTTGGTGAATGTTCTCCAAAGAAACTCAGAGGTTTCCTGACTCTAACCAGCTCAATCTTCATTGGATTTGGAAAAATAACAGGTCAAATAATTGGCATCAAGTAAGAGCTGACTGCAGGCACCTTTAGGTCTCACTCACTAATGTTTACTGAGGAGTTTCATACAAGTAACAGTGACTGTCATCTCCTCGACCAATCAAAGATCTGGTTGTCCTTGTATTTCTAATTAAAATGTTTGAGGAGCACAAAATAATTCCTATCATACATATCTTATTCATGTAGCTTCATTTTCTACTTCACTATTTTGTTCTTGTTTTGTACTTTCAGGGAGATGATGGGTACAGAAGATATGTGGCCGTACCTCCTAGCTATAAGTGGTATTCCTGCCATCCTGCAGTTTGTAACCCTGCTTTTCTTCCCTGAAGCCCCTCGCTACCTTTACATTGACAAAGGAGACACTGAAGGCAGTGAAAAAGGTGAGTTGACACATCAGACTACAGCCTGTTTTACATTGCCAGTTCAAGACTTGACTTTTACACCTCATCTGTAATGTTAATGTCACAAAGGCATAATGGTGAGACAAAGTTGTCCTACTGCCTCATCTTTCATCTTCTCCAACTTAAAGTTGTTGGTTTGGGGGGTCTTTCTGCTCGAGATCCTCTTGAGCTTCCCTCAGACTCTTCTAGCTCAGATTTTAGACTACTGTAGCCTTTTTTATTGGTGCACAACAGACATGTTTGGCCTGAGCCAATTCCAGGTCTCCCCTGAGTTAGTCAGGATTCACAGTCTTTGCCTTTTGAGTAGGATATACATTGAATTAAATGAAGATACTCAGACTTATAAATGACCTTTATTTGTATACTTCAGTAAAGTACTTGAGAACATTTTATCTAGTAACAACATTATTCGTTGTACCCTGTTATGTGGCTGTATACTGACTATCATATTACAATTGTATTAAGTCCCTGTGTGTGTGTGTGTGTGTGTGTGTGTGTGTGTGTGTGTGTGTGTGTGTGTGTGTGTGTGTGTGTGTGTGTGTGTATAAAAGCCTTGCAGTGGCTGTGGCAGGCGCACGACTTAAAGCTGGAGTTAGAAGACATGCAGAAAGAGAGAGAGAGCACACAGGGAGAGAAGAAGAAGACGGTGAAGGACGTCCTCACCTCGCGCTGTGTGAGGTGGCAGCTGCTGACTCTGGCCATCCCCTGTGCTGGTGTTCAGTTCTGTGGCATCAACGCTGTATGTGCACTTTAAGTTTCTATTGCATAATATCATAATAAATACTTTTTCAATGACAGAATATGTTCATTTAAATGGTCCCTTATTTTTCATTCTCTACTCTAGCTGTATTTCTACGCCTTTGACATATTTCGTGAGTCAGGAGTGCCAGAGGACCAAATGCATTACTTTGCCATCGGTATCGGAGCAACAGAGCTCATCACTGTCACATTGTGTGTAAGTATCTCTGTGAAGAAGTTTGAACATTGAATTATACTGACACCTGAAGGAAGACAACAACTAAGTATATATAAGCTTTTAAACCTCAGCTAAACACATGCATCTAACGACACAGGTCATCATGCGATGAACATGCAGTAAACCATATCAAAACAACAACAACAACAACAACAACATGGATGTCATCCAACATTAAGTACAACTTCAAATCGTATTTGATATTTAATTATCCATCCTTTCCTGCACAGAGACAATAGATTATCGATTGTATGTTAATCATATGTTGTTGTTTTTTAAAGATTTATTTTTGGGCTTTTTGTGCCTTTAATAGAAAGACAGGACAGTGGATAGAGTCAGAAATCAGGGAGAGAGAGTAGGGAATGACATGCGGGAAAAGAGCCACAGGTGGGATCCGAACCTGGGCCTCCCGCTTGGAGGAGCAAAGCCTCCATACATGGGGCGCACACCAACCACTAAGCCACCAGCGCCCCATGTTAATCATATGTTTAACAAAAGCTTTCCTATCATTAGTCAGCATGTCTAATGATGGTACCTTAACAGAGTAGAGGGCATAGATCTGCATGTCAAGATTTCATGCTTCTATGTGACCCACCCTTGCAGTCCATTAGACCTAAAAAACAAAGTGTCATCCCAGTTTAACTCCTTACATATGTATATTTTCAGTAGCTTGCTCTTCAATACGCCATTCTGGCGTTCACACAAAGCTTCTCTATGTTGGAAATAGAAACACCTTCACCTCTTAACTCCTTGTTTCTGCAAGCTACACTTCACTGTTTTGTCCACAAACTTGGCTGTTGTAGCCTCAACCCATCAACCACCACCAACATGCTTACCTTACTGGTCTTATCATGGACCCCAGGAAGAATAGTTGTTACTGCGGTAACAACTTATTGGGATCCAATGTAAATAAATAAATGTCCAAAAAATCTATAACCAAGTGCTTGAACTGATCTTCATGATTTAGAATATTTCTTATAGGGGTTGTTACTCCTCTTCTGACGATACTCTTTAAACATGTTACACAGTCACTTATTATTCTGCAGAGCTCTGTCCATGGACTGTTCCTTCACTGTGCATGTTCTATGTTAATCCATGAGACAACTGGACTTGGTTACATACATACATACATACATACATACATACACAATGGTGTAGGGCAGGATTGGAAGTTGTTGTTAATCTCTCCATCGCTTTGGGGGGTCTCAGTCTTTCCTGATAGATCGTGCGGGCAGAAAGAAGCTGATGGGTTATGGCTATCTGCTGATGGGTGTCACCATGTCTGTGCTGACCGCCATGCTGTCCATAAAGGTTCAAACATCTCCTAAAGTGCGTGTTTCTCTACACTGTGCTTTAGCGGATCAGTTACTTATAATGATCTCTTCATGTAGGATCTGAATACATGGATCCCATACGTGAACATCGCTCTGATCTTCTGTGTGATCTGCATTTATGGACTTGGACCTTGTAAGTTTTCAATGGACCTCACAATGGAAACATTGAATAGATTAATATGAATTAATATTGATACATATATATTTTTTCCTTTTAAGCTGGAGTGTCTATGGCCCTTCCCGCCGACCTCTTCCTACAAGCCTGGCGTCCTTCTGCATACGTCATCAGTGGGACCATCAACTGGCTGGGCATGTTCCTTGTGGGGATGTCATTTGGCTTCATTGTGGTGAGAAACTTGCTGTGTGACACATACTATATTCTATCACATACATTATAAGCACATTGATTTATTTAACACAATCTGTTTTTTTTTTGTTCTTGACAGGAAGGACTTGGGCAGTTCTGCTTCCTTATTTTTGTGGCCTACTCCATTTTCAGTGCAGCTTTTCTGTTATATTTTGTCCCAGAGACCAAAGGAAAGACGATGGTGGAGATAATGGAGGACTTCAATAAACTGAACTACAAGAACAGGGCTGCTGACACTGAAAAGACAGACATTACTCTTGCAACTAAACTTTAACTTTTTTCCTTAGAAAATCCTCATTCAGGCAGTCTAAGCTATGAAAGAGCATCTCAAGAAGCCCTCTTGTCTTATTTAAACATAAATGTATTTATTTCTGTGGCAGTATAAGCAGCTTACAGATCTATAAAAACATCCTTAACACAAGAGACCTGAAAGTTTGTATTTAAAGTCAATTATATAAACATGAAAAATCAAAACATTTAATTTAACCTCAATGCCATTTCCTGTTCTATAGCTTCCATGGAGAATTACACCATATACCTGTTCTCTTATTACTTCTTTGCTCTTTCTGTTTCTGTTTATCTTTTTCAGGCTTCAGGGTTGTAACAATGTATCAATTTAAATAATACATTTTTTATCACTTTTATATTTGGATATTAAATGTAACAAACTTGGAAACAAAGCCTTATCAAAAATTAAACAAAAGGCATTTGACTCTTTTCACCTTCAGCAGACTAAAGAAATCTTGACCTGGATTGATTTGAAGTGCTGGAGACTCTTAAATCATTTTGGTTTCATGTCCCTTATTTAATCACATTTCTATGATTCTACTTTTTGCACTTGGTTTGTTTTGTACCTGTGATCTGCTCATAAGCAGTGGTGTGGTGCAGGGTATACCCACTTATTTTTCAGTCTCCATAGGGTATACCCACTTCTAAATCCCCTGTGATCCACACCATTGATTGATTGATTGATTGATTGATAATATTAAGTAGAATGCTTTTTCTAGGACGGTAAAGGGATGACCCTCCTTTCTCTGTCATATTGGCTGTTATACACTTGAAATGAGCAGTCGTACATGTCACAGGCTGTTTATCTTCTGCAGGACGGGACACATACAAAAAAACATTTGGGGTAAAAAGCAAGAGTATACCCACTTCGTTAGGCACCACTACACCACTGCTCGTAAGTTGTGTATGCCAATGTGTAAGAAGAAGTATCAGTCATTTATCAAGTCAACGTTGCTGTTGCCTAAGGTTATAAAAAAATAGTAGCAGTCTTTTATTTTTTGTTTTTTAACTGTGAAAAACACAATGTATCAGAGAATCATGTTTAATCCTAACCAATACATTAGACAGCAGTGGTTTTAATTGTAGCAGGTCAAAATGAAGCTAATTTGAACTGGCAATGATTTTATTAGAATTAATTCTTGTGTCTACTATTTAAGTCTTTACACAACCATATTCATGTATTTACCCTGAACCTCAAATTAAGTAGTATGTTTAAGTCTCGCTGTAAGATCATAAATGCAACAGTTCTATAATGCAGAGTATAAGAAGCTGGTTCCTTAAAGTCAACCACTGTACAAATCCAAAAGGTTTTAAAAATCTGTCATTTGCATTTAATGTGATTGAGGCAAACATGTGGTGTATCACACAGAACAAGAACTTTATGCTGACAATCCATTCTGAAGGAAAATAAAGAAGATCCATAAAAAAACACACTACGAAGAGATGGTAGCTTTTTCAATTGCAGTTTATTAGATACTCATCTCTGTACCAACAAGAGAGATGAGACTCGATAACAGAGTACAAAAACAAATATCCATAGAAAAGTATGCTTATATTGAAATATGTCCAAAGACGTTATAACAAAACATGTAGCTCACATGTTTTAGGAGCAGTCTGGTTGAGTATGATGATAAAATACCAAGTTAATATATTGTACATTTTCTGTGTGTTTTTATACAAAAGTGTCAACGCAAGTCACTCTATACAATTCTTACCTTTTAGAAAACAGGACCTTTTTTTTTTTAATCCACTGCTGTGCACAATCAGTATTTGGAAGGCACTTTGCAACAGACCAAAAGCAGAAAGCAAAAAAGAGTTGAGGCCAAAATGATCCTTGAAGACATCTTTTTACACTCGAGTACCAACATAAGTGAAAATGAATCAAACATCCCATTGAAGAAAAGCACTCATTTCCTTACAGCATCTTGCACTTGTTTTCGAAGAATTGACAACAAAAAAACAACCCTTCTTTTAGTTTTTAAAGGACTAAATAGTGCAGAGTGGATCAAAAAAAGGGACAAAAATAAACTTGGTCAAACATGAGAAACAGCACGGTGAACAGTGAGACTCTTAAACCTCCACCAACCAGTGATCGACATTCAGTCCCCAGCTTCAAACAGCCATAAGTTAACATCCCTCCACATGATGGACAAGAACAAAAACATGTTTCTATGTACACGACCACCATTGACAAACACTGATCATACTGGTTGGGTCATATATATTTATAGATATATACTTATATTAATAGATTGTGTATATGAATGGTATATACACTTGTTACAATCACAACATAACCATAAATAATATAGGAATGTACTGAGTTTAACAGACTTACTCACAAATCATAATTCAAACAGAAAAAATGAAACACAGATCACAAACAATGGCTTCATGGAGCAGTTGCCATACACACTCACACACACACACTACTAAAATCCTTCTCTGTGGGACTTGCTTTGATATTCATAATTTTTACAACACAAGAAAAACTAATCAAAATATTTGTGAGAAAGCTTGATATCCAACTGATGACGCTTGAAGAGAGGGCCACACATACGCTTTTGATCTCTTCACAAGAATGTCTCGAATGAAATACATTTCAGAGTGAAACACCTTGATAGATGTCGTGTCCAATCCTAGCGACCAGTAGTGCAAACACAGAATATGTTATCTACCAACAGCACATCTGACAGAAGCAAAACCAGATGAGATAAAGAGGATGATTGAAATAGTCATATAACTTGCATTATGTTTGATTGGTCCAGAGGTTATATAGGATGAGGGTGGGACTATCATCTCGCCCTCAAGCTGAAGCAGAACACACACGCACGCACACACACACACACAAACGAGCAATCATCTCAATTTAACATAATTTAGAGTGAAAAAATGTCAAAATAAGCAAATCACAAGATTATCTATAGACAATTTAAAAAAACAAACACGATTCAGAGGGCATGAATAAGTTAATAAAATATATTCCACATTTCTCTAAATATACCTGACCTTGGTCCCTGCTCAATGAACCCAACTAATTTATCACCAAACAAATAAGAGCTGGAATCGTCGTCATTGTATATGGGGATACGAAGCTCCTTCCCAACAAGCTCACTGCAAGTTTGAAAACACATTTTAAGGCTTTTAAAGGTGTTTTATCCTTGAAAAATAGATTATTTTTTTTAAACTAAAAATATGTGTGTTGCAGTAGGGACCTTAATACAATATCTTAAACAAGTCATTCATTGTATGAATTATCAAATTATTATTATTTTTTGCTTAAGGACCTTTTTACATCCAAATGAGCTGCCAGTAGATTTCCTTCATTTCGAGCACATCTGTCCTCATGTCACATCAGTGTGCAAACTCTGCTCTCTGTACACGCTTCACAGCATCTCCACAAGGGCTTTGTTCAAATGATGGGATAAAAAATATATCTGCAGGTAGGACTTCAAACATTTTGACAGAACTATGATTAAAAAGAATAAGGACGGCGATGTGCTAGTTTATTTATAATTAGCTGTGACTTCTTCAACTCTAATAAAGAACTTACTCAACTATATGCCAAATATGATGGTCATTTTCACTTCTTTGAGGTAGCTTTATTTTGTTTTATCTAAAATTTTCAGCTTTTACAGTATCATATATGCTAAAACTTAAACTCTAATCGATGTTTCAAATTTTTTTCCATTAAACAGTCATGTATTTAGATATTTGACAGAAATGTCTTCATACAGCAGAAGAAAAAGCTCATATGAATGTGTCGAATTTTGCTGTGAGCCTGTTAGGAATGTTTCATGGAATAATTAACAGCTTCAAAGAAAAACATAAGGGCCTACTTATATCCATGTTCTCAGGAAAATCATTCTTAAAAGACACAGGGAACATAAATATAGAATTCATAATAACTGACTATTATTAAATTGATTTAAGCTTTCTGTAAATAACACACCAAGAAAACATTTGTGTAGCTAAGAGAGCTCAATTACATCAAAGCAAAGAACCAAATAAAAGTACACCAAACATCACTTTAGCAGATTCATGTCAGATAAAGGAAATTACGCCCTCATATTGTCCATTTTAAACCAACAATTTAAACATTGTATATGCACTTTCCGTACTCTGAAAAAGTAGAAAAAGTAGGAATTATATGGCAGTCTGTGAAAGAAAATCACAAACATTAAGCAAATGTGAGGAAACAGAAAAAGTAGTCTTGAGGCAAAGTTATTCCCATATACAGAGCAGCGTCTGTGGGCGACCCGGCTTTGTCCTAAGAATGAAAGGCTTTGCTTTAACTTAAGCAATTGCGTCACTTCCCCCCAAAGTCGAGTCCACTCTGACCCTCTTCAGCATCCACCAATGAGGAGGCAAACGCAGACTGGACTATCTGAAAGCCAAAAGACTCGAGCAGAGACATGTTTTGTTGAGGGGAGAAGGGGGAGGTCAGGGAGGGTGCCAGCTCGTTTAAGCTCGACCCAGAAACCCCCTGGGCCTTCTGGGCTTTGTGAACTCTATGCTGGTGCTTGTTGAGGTAGGACTTGGTGCGGAAGGCCTGGCCGCAGATGGGGCAGATAAACTTCTTCTCAGGCTCTGGTGTCTTGGCTTTAGATCCCTCTGGAGACCCCAAGCTATCTGTAGAGGCTCCATTACAGGCTAAAGAGGGCATCTCAAGCTCTGGTCCTTCTGGTTTGTGTGGGGTTTTAAGCTCTTCACTACTGGGCAACTCCCCAAATGAAGGATCTGATTCTTCTGATTCTAGATGAGGACATTTCCCAATGTTCTCCTGTCCGTCTGTGGTAAAAAAGGGTGGACAGGAAGGTGTAGAGTAGGACAGATAGAGAAAACAAAAAGAGGGGAGAGGGAGAAAAGGAGACATAATTTTATACAAATGATCATTAAAAAAATGTTGTAGATTTTAATTTAAATCCAGTAACTGGTCAGGTCCTGCAGAGAATTTAATTGGTTACTCTTGAGGGCATCCCCAAGCGACAGTACATATAATTGGGATACTTTATTTAATAATCAAAGACATAAAATACAAACACAATTCCTTCACAATGTGGATAAAACATTTCAATCATGAATCATCTACATCAGTCCATTTGCCTAGTTTCCACCGACAATCCTGCTCTTCTCATTCAACAGACTGCCTGTGTAGCACCCAGCCCCCACCCACATCCTGCTGGACTGTACTGACCTGTGACATGCCCATGGTCAGGGAAGCCAGGCAGCCCGCCAGAGCGACACTCCCAGAAATATGGAGCCCCACCTGCCTTCCCCATGAGCAGCTCAGGCTGCAGGCCCAAAGCTGGGGGGCCGGGCTGGGGAAGAGCTGGGTGTCCATGAAAGCGACCCTCTGCCTCAGGCAAGGTGAGAAACAGCTGGCGACTGGCGCACAGGTCTACACAACACCCGGCCAGGAGAGAGGAGGGGGTGGGGGGCAGACATAACAGGTGGCGGAAACCATGCGAACAGAATTATCTTCATTTCAACACTAGTTTGTTTAAATTCTGCCTGTAGACAAAGTAAGCTGGACAGAGTTGCATGAATCTTTTTTTGAGTGAATCCCATCAACAAAGCTGTCAATGAATAAATTCACTTTTTTACTCCCTACCAGAGGCCACATCATTGAGCTTAGTGACTAGAGATTTGTTCAATATAACCAGATGGCCACTTGAGTAGGGACCTTTCTCACAGTGGAAATGTGTCCTCGCCACACATAGGTGTAATTAAAATTAAAAACTAGAAAGACGATTGAAGGAGTGCAGAGCTTTGTCAAAGACAAAAGTCCTTTCTTCCCTGATGAATATCAAAATCTGCCAGCACAGCCCACATGTCAGAACAACCTACATATGTCAGGATGAATAAGGTTTATATGTTCTTATTGCTTATGTGGGAGTTGGATCTGCTTTTAAGTGATTGTAAAAAAAATTGACTCAAGAACAAGAAATTAAAGTACATATATTCCACAATGTAAGGAGCTTTTTCCCAACTGGTGCTCAACAATTCAACGGAAAATTAAGTTTTAGGGAGAACTAAAGATAAACCACCGGTCAGAACAACATCAAAATATTACCTTCTTGACTGAGATGATGACCACATTTATTTTAGGTTTATTATGAAGACCTTGCTAAAACATGTCATATCACTAACTCACTTCAAAGACCAGGTAGCAATTATTAATGCAATTAATCTTACGCTTGAAGGATATTCCTGTTTTTTGTTTTGTTTTGTTTTTTACAAACAGTGATATGTTCACACACAACTTGTCTCACAAATGGAAAACTGCAGTAAATATAGTGACAGTACACAATTCAATTCTCGCAACAGGCTTTTTTTAAACGACATTATGTACAAGAGGTAACCGAGACCCGGTTAGTCTTGGAGCAGTGTGAGTGCAGGCCAGCGGGGGAACGGGGAGCAGGGGGCAATCGTGCTTAAGCACTGTACTGGATAACTTCACTAGTGTGAGTGCGCCCTCAGATCTTAATCATTATAACCAATGTTAGCCCTTTAATGTGAGATTGTATCTCCTCACAATTTATAATAACAGCATATCAGGATTACCTGAGCCTCCAAATAAAAACTGTAATACTGACCTAAGCACAGACATAAAAACCCCCCCAACTCTTTTAGCCAGCTAGGAAATCAATTGGAAAGGTCAATTTGGTTCTAACAAATTCCCTTTTTTGTAATAAAAGTGATGAAAGTCTTGTAAAATAGAGACTTGTGAAATAGATCATAAGAAATTTAGCTCAAAAAAGGACAAAGTTAATATATAAATATTAATCAGTGTAAATTGAACCAGGAAACATGATCAGTTTTAATGATTTACAAAGTACAAATGGTTGTGCCTTAGGAGGTCTGGAAGTCGGCTTTCTAATAAGCCAAAGAATATCTTTCAAATGCCACTCACACTCCACAGGCAATAAACAATGTCCTTTTTCACTGTTGCTAACAGTTAACTGTGCACTGTCTCTATGTTTCTGCTTCTCCCACACAGATAGCATAACTACAACAGTTTCAATGAACCCCAGCAAATGGATCACACATTGGGACAGTCATGCAATCCTGTGTACTGTTGAAAAACTGCTGATGGACCAGCCAAACAGGGACAGACAGAGTTTGCCATGGCCATGCAAGACAAACACACACACACACACACACACACACACACACACACACACACACACACACGCACAGAAAGTTTAAAGAAAAAAAAGAAAAACAAAAGTGACCCAGCACCCAAGCTTCTGACATGGCCATGAATCTGAACCATTAACTCTGATGTTTAACCAACTTCCAAGTGTCCAGCTATCGTTGACGTTTAAAGTAGTAAATTCAACATTATGTTCATTTCATAACCCCAACGCCTAAAATGTAAATGAAAACAGAATGTGATGTTTGAAAAACATTGAAACGCCATATTTGATTGAAAATAGCACAAATACAACATATCAAGTTTGACATTCCAGGGCGCCTCATTCTCTAAATCAAAGAGGAGAGGGACCATCCGGCTTGTGGTCAGTGCAAATGTTTAAAAGCCAGAATCCGTGATTTCACGGGGTGTATTAGTGCACCTGGCATGGGTAACCTGCACAATTGTGAACGCACCATAAATGCTGAATGATGTGTTTTTGAGCAACAAATGGTGTTAAATAGAAAACGTATTTTTCAGGGGAGGGATAATTTAGTTAATTGACACAACGCCGATCCATTTTCTAGGCATATCAAAACAACCAAGCTCCATATTAAAAGAGACTAGTTTATAAACTGGTGTTCCTGTAGTCCCGAATCGTCACCTATTGAAAATGCCTGGAGCATTATGAAACGTAAAACAAGACAAAGTAACCCTTAATTGTTTAAATACAATATTACCCAAGAAAGGTACAATTCAATTTATAACTGACAGAAATTGGTCTCCTCTGTTCCCCAAACTTTTACAAAGTAAAAGTGGTAAACCTGACCCTGTCCTCACTTTTTTCAAATGTGGTCCTGGCATCTATTTCAAAATGGGCATATCATTTTCTTTTATAAACAATCAAATTTCTCAATTTCTTCACATGACATGTTGTCTTTGTGCTAATTTCAATAAAAACATTGTGTTTCAATGGTTGGCAAATCATCACATTCTGTTTATAATTACATTTTACACCGTTCCCCAACCTTTTAGAAACTGAGATTGTATATCTATAATTTCCAGCCTCATATAGATCTGTCTCACTCTTAACCAAACAGTGTTTCATAATAAGTGCACATATTGGCAGGGCCTTTACTAGGAAAACTCCAAAAAACGTAATTAAGTGATGTTTGAAACAGACTTGTATGCATTCATTCTAAACGCATACCCCCCACCCCCACCCCGCGGAGGTCAAGTTATAAAATAATAATAATATTTTTTTGCCTTTTTGTGCCTTTATTGTAGAGATATGATAGTGAATAGTCGGAAATCAGGGAAAGAAGTCATTTAAGGATACCTTTCCTTTAAAAGTAACGCATGAACACCAAGATTCCTTCAAGTGTGTGTGTCGGCGTCCCCCCACATTCTTTACATGCACTCTGTGAGTAGATTTATATACATTGTAAGAGGTGTTTCATCATCAACTGCAACAGCTCCTTCATTGCACATTTTGTTTCTTATATTTTTACATTTTTAAATTGTATATTATATGTATTTGTGATTGCTTCTTATATTTTCAGTTCTTGCTATTTGTGCTTTATTTTCCTTTGATAACTGTTTCTGCACCAATACACCAAGACAAATTCTTTGTATGTGTAAATGTACTTGGCAATAAAACCCGATTCTGATTCTGAAGGAGCAATATGTAACTGACACCTAGTGTTTTAAATTGGTACAGCAGTCCTGATTCAAAACATATTTAAGCTAGTTTAATCAATTTTTAGGTTGGGAAAAATAAATTATATCTACACCAGTTTGATCGCCCGCTTCCATCACTGTACAACTGGTGTCTTAAAACCGCCTATTGCTCTGGTCAAATCAAATAAAGACCATATTGAATCGAAACGTAGAGCCTGTCCTAATAGCATGCGACACATGCGAGTGGCTGCGACAAAATCAGCATGATTCTGTTGTTTCCTATTGGAGTATCCTAACTTCCCACGAGCGACGCAGTGCGACAGTGGCACTCTCTTTTCTCACTCAGCAGAGCTTGTTAGCTTGTTTTACAAAGTGGAGCTAATGGTGCATTAATAATATCCACATCAGTGATTGAAATATTGAGCTTTGACTTGTGTCAACACCGGAGAAAAACGTCTTTCTGCCCACAGCAAGAACTTTATTGTCGAGCCTCTGAGTGACGTGATTTGAGTCACCAGCTTTTCAATACAAAGCACCACACTTCAGTTCGTCCACCATCAAAATAAAAGCTCCACGTTATAACGTTCACATGGGGAAACTGAAATTCTCAGAGCAAAGAGTTAAATATTTAACAGATGCCGTCTGGACAGCAAGCGTCTGATCATGTGCGATGCAATATCTAACACTCACATGCTGTTAGGACACAGTGTTAGAAGAACATAATGTCTGTTGATATACAATGGTATATAGAAGACATGCTGACAGTCACCATCAGACAGACAACCAGCTCATGAAAGTGCACAAAGTAGATGTTTGAGTGAAAATGCTCGGCATCGGAGGTTGACGTATGTGCGTGTGTTAAACATACACAAAGATGCAGCAGCATGTTTCTTCTAAAAGCAGCAGAGCAAATAAAAGCCAGAAACATGAAAGTTTGGGATGGGGCGGGCGGCTGCTTGCCTTCCACTGAGCACTGGCGTCCCATGTGGTAAGGGTTGCCGTTGTGCATCTGCAGCTCCCCCCTTGGCTCAGGGAAGGTGTGCATTGTGGTAGAGGGGGGCAAAGGAGAGCCATGGTGTGTCTTTATATGCACCTTAAGGTAAGATGCAGTGGAGAAACCTGGGACCAGAAGAACAGAGAACAGGGCAGTTGTTTGAAACACTCAAGGCCTTCACTATGGGGGGGGGGGGGGTACCGTTTACATGGTAACAGGCTCATAGATGTTAATGGTCAGAGAGATACTAAATTTTGATATTATTCATCCCTCTGACTCTCTACAATGAGCTTCACAAGTGACCCTTTGTTGACTCTCTGATTGGTCAGCTGATTCACCAACCAGAGAGCCCCCTCATAGCAACCATAGAGGGGGCTACTTCAAGTTAGACAAACTTTCGCCAACTTTTCAGTAGGTTGCAGTGAAATTGTGACCTTGATTGTGTTATTACAACATGGTTAAAAGGTGTGCTTGGGGTGTCTGTGAGAATGACAAAAGACATCCACATCGTAATCCGGGAGTTTCTTTCTGCATGGATCAGTAGCATTTAGCACAAAGAGATGTTGGTGTGATTGTCAAATTGTGCACATAAATCTCAATCTGTATTGAAGGTCCTGAAAGGGCCATTGCTGGAGTCCAGAGGTAAGCAAGTGGAGGTAAGCTAGCTAGCCGCCACTAGCTATCATTAGTCGACATAACTAGAAATCAATCATATTTCAATGATTTTGTTTATGTTATAAGAGATTTTGAGTTATCCTCGTACTCCTTACCTTACCTTTGTCTTATCTATTCTTCACTGAGGCTCAATTTAGAAAATAATCGAATAAAAAAGAAAAAGAAAAAACTTAATCAAAGTCTGTTGAATCGTGTGGCATTTCGGATTGTTTCAATTAGGAAGGAGTCCGATGGCAAGAGAACTTGTCCAACCTAGTAACAGTAACTAGGGAGGTCGGGGCTTAGCAGTGGGCTACTTCCTGGTGAGGGTGTGGCTTGACAAAGGGTCCATTTGCAAAAATCTGAATTCCTGTAAGCACACTGGAAACATGTTGCTGGAGATCTTATATACACATTTACCCTTTGTTTTGACTTTTTGATTGTCAACTGATGCATGTGCATGGACACAATTTAACTTTATTCCTATCTAACTTTACAGTTTAAATGATAAAAGCTTTCTGTTGAAAAATACCTTTGTATATCTTCAACTGAGATTTGAAGTAACAACTGATATTTTTTCCACTGTCAATCATCCTGGTTTGGTCTTTTTTAAGCACCAAATAATCCACTCATTATTTTAGTCACATATCTGTACAATTATGTTACTTATCTTGTTTGTGTTGAATATGAAAATGTAAAATTCAGTCCTATTTTTTGTACACAGAGTACTATTGCAAACCCACAATAAAAATAATATAACTCCATGTGCAGATAAAGTTAAGATCAATTTAAAGGAAGCCCAAATACAACCAGGTCCCAAAGAGGAAAGCAGAGATTGGTCATCCTTTGTGGGTGGAGTTACACAGCTCGTTAAATGCTGTTTGCCTTAACATTATCTAACAAATCAAGTTTTTATAGTCCTCCAACGTGCAGCCTGCAATCAGTCAGGACAGTTCATCCAGAGAAGAACTATAGTGTTGTAACAATTGGTTAAACTTTATGTGTCAAAGAACATGATTTTGAAGGGATGGTATAAATTAAAATGTACCTTAACCCTCACGAAGAAGAAAAAAACTAATTTAACACATTAGCCCTTTTTATGTTGCCTATTTAAGTGGAACTTGTACTCCTCTATTACCAATGCCTTTAATGTAAAGCGCAAGGAGGGAGCATTGTGGGGTGAAGCTGGTGCTGAGCCAGCATCAGAGGTAGTAACAGAGGCGCAAAAAGGGATAACAGCATCTGTGGAAGAGGTGAGCCAGTATAGGGTTCTGTGTGTGTATTTTAAGCTTGCGCTGCTTGTTTACATGTCAAGTCTTTAATGTCAGTGGTGTTTTCGCTTCCATATGTGTCCAGGCAGAAGTACATTTGTTTTTTTTCTTTTGTACACCACATTCTTGTGTGTGTTGAGGAAAATGTACCATCCTTTTTTTCCAAGAATGGAAGAAACAGTAGTAGCAGTAGTAAACAAATGTCATGTTCAGACATTAATACTTTGTAATAAAACAACAGAAATTTCAATTAGATCACTGCACTGACACAGCCACGGAGCCACACAGAGGCCTTCAGTTCAAAGTGGAATCAGGAAGAGCCAGTTACAAACCAAAACGTGTTTACAGAGCTCTTTTCCTTTGAACATCATTGACAACTGAATATCTGTCTGTATTTGGGACAGAGTTTTCTCAGAGGAGGTTGTAGCTGTGAAGAGGTACATTGAAAAATTACCTTTGTTGCAAATGCCACAGTAGTTATGTGTTCCTTCACTGTGTTTCTTCAGGTGGTCTGTCATGTAGGCAGCTCGCAGAAACTTGCCACAAACTTTGCAGGGGATTTTGTCCTCATGACATGCAAGGTGTGACCGGAGGCGATCTCTTGTAGCAAAGGAGGCATTACATATCTGAAACATATAGAACATTTCAACATCTTTTATACATATAACTGTTAGAAACATTCATGAGGTTTGGGGTTTTCACAATACTTCCACTCCGATCCAATGGATTATTTGTGTTACCTGGCACTGGTGGGGTCTTTCTGTTGTGTGAACCTGTTTGATATGTCCATTCAGGTGGTCTGGTCTGAAAAAGAAAAAAGGCATTAGTGTTTGACTAAACAGTTAGCACATATCATTTCACTGTAGGAAATAGCTGTTGTATTTTTTTTTAATGTAAACTGAACCCTCGTTTCATATATTTTTTCTATTATTATTTAGTGCATTATAAAACTAAAAAAGTGCTGCCTCTATTACTACCATATTCAATATTTTCATGAAATCTACATGTTTTACTGTTGCATTGTGTTGTCGCTATTTTTATACATATACACATTTATCTAGAAATTATTAAATACAAATAGACAATGGGGTAAAGAACAATTAATTATTTGCTAGTAAGACTTTTAAACAAATAGCCTCATATAACACAATGAAGCACAGGAATAGGGGACCCAATAGCCAGGAACTGGAGGTGCAATATTTTCTGTCATCATAAAGAAATATCAGAAACCCTCATCCCCCCCCCAAAAAAAATCCAGGAGTTTTCAAACCAAAAAAGTTGCACAGAAGCATTTGATGTTTTTTTTGTATGCTGACTATATCTGGCAGATTTAAGTGGAGTGAGTTGTCTTTGTGGCAGACTGAATCTCTGCACATTTTTATACCACAAATGATATGACAGCTTTGTTACAAACACTCACTGCGTCATCATAATTTAGATTTTACACCAACAATGTGTGACTTCTTTCCATTTGACATCTGCATGTAATTTAAACTCCAGAGCAGTAGGGGGTGATGGAGAGTTGACAAGAGAGCCTGGAAACTGGTATGTGTGGTTAAGGCTAAACAACACAGATGACAAGTCACTCTGCGACGCTCCAGACGTTTTCTTTATACAGAAACTGAAGGGGTTGTGTCAGGGTTTGCAAAAAGTTGCCGTCCTTAATAATTAGTAAAACTGAGGAACAACCCATACAGGCATGCACTTCAGTGCCCTTGGTCTGTTGATATAAGCTAACTCACACGTTTTCGTTCTTTAAAGCTTCTCTATTGTCATTGTCTCAGCACTAGATGGTGATATGAGCTGGCTGTGCTATTTGTCTGAGCTTCTCTAAGATGAAGTAACAACTGTCAGGGGGAAACTCATTTTGTTAATCGTTTTGAGTTTGATTGGTGATTGTGAAAATCAATTTAGTACTTCACTGTCCTTCGGGTGTAATATTTAATATTAATTGGGTTTTTTTCCTGCAACACAAAGAACACAACATGTACTGTCAAAGGGGAAGAATGATACACTCACCTTGAAAAACCTTTACCACAGCTTTGGCAAACATAAGGTTTCCCAACCGACCCGTCATGGGACCGCACATGGTATGACATCCTGTCCTTGCGTTTGAACCGGAGCCCGCACACATGGCACGCATACGGTTTCTCCCCGGAATGAGACAGCTTGTGTCGGTTCAGGTGATAAACATCGCGGAAAACTTTACCGCAAATGTCACAGCCAACGTGCCGCCTGATCCTCTCTCGTTTTCTCCCATTGTCCAGCGTCAGCTCTCCGTTTTCCGTCAGCCCAGGCTGGGACATTAAAGACATGCCACCCACTGTTGACAGGCGGTCACCGGCATTGTTTACACCGGTGTGAGCTCCGTGTTGCGCTTCGTGATTCTTCAAGCGGGACGCCTCGGTAAAAGCTTTACCACAAGTCCCGCACGGGAACAGGACAGTGTCTTTCAGCGAGCTGGTGTTAAATAGGACAGTTTCCACAACCCCGCCGTCTTTCTTTGGTCTCACCCTGCTCTTTTTAGACCCCGGGGAGCCAGCGTCGTGTTGAAACGTGTTCCCCGGTGTCTCCGTAGTCGGGGAAACAGACAGTCCCTCCACAGGCTCCAAAATTGGCACCGAGGTCTCTCCGCCGTCCTGTAACAACACAGCGGCGGTGTCTTCACCACCGTCCACATGCATTTGCGGATTGTCAGCGAAGCTTTGAACGTTCACCAGGACCCCGGTTCCGTTTACAAGATCCTGCGGTGCCACCGGGAAACCCAGCTCCGTGGCTGCAGTGGCCTGGAAGAGACTGGCGTCGGCTCGGCGCGACGTCGGGACGAGGATTTGCACATTTGACTGCTTGATCACCTCCTGACATATCTCAATGACCGAGCGCATCAGCAGGAACTTGGCAGCAGTCATTAACTCCGGGAAACACTCCAGACGCACCACAATCCTCGACGTATACGCGAAGTCCAAAACGTCTTTAAAAACTTTGGGGCTGATGGTGTGCATCTCTAGCTCCTTCGTTTCGCCGTCGGTCTGGCGGCTGAACACCGACTCGAAATACTCGCTGCACGCCGCCAAAACAGCTCTGTGAGCGGGGAAGCTCTCCTCGCCGACGCGCAACACCACATCGCAGAACCTGCCTCCATCTTTCCTCTGAACATTGAGGTTGTGTAGCATCTCCGCACTGTGCTTGCTCACCTGGTAGGTGTACGAAGAAGTCCAAGACGGCTCCGCTACCTTCTCCATGCCGAATTCATCAAATAACAATGGATGTTACCGGCAGCGGTCGGAGAAATAGCAAAGGGGGGGTGGGGGGTGTTTTTTTATTTGTATTTTAATGCTCCTGTTCGCACACTTGATACCAGCTAGCTAACGTTATAGAAAACCAAGCGCCCCTCCCCGTCGATTTTAGCATCTACCGTTAAATGCTAGCAGTAGCGGAAAAAAATGGCAGCCCCCCAGCTTCCTGTGAACTTTGACCCTGGTTTTCTTGAAGGGTGGGGGTCGCTCTTGTTTTGTGAAAATTTTCTCTCGAGGTTTGTTTCTGACGAGAATTTGCTCTAACTATCCCCCCCCCATACCTCATTGTAATGTCAGTGCCCCCATCTCACACACACGGGGTCTTTCTTGTCCATATGCGAACATGCAAGTCTCTTACTGCCTGTTCTGTGATGGTAGAACCCCTCCCCCAACCTACCACAAACAGAAAAGCCCCTTTACTGTGTACGAGCGCAGTCTGTAAACCCACGCAACACACCATTAAAAGCATTATACTGCACAAGTCACGCAAGGTAACCATAACTTAACATTAAGATTAAATACAATATATCTTGAAAGTACAACGAGAACATTGTAAACCGATACACCCCAGTTATATTAAAAAATATAAATTTTCCAATTTGGGAAGAAATAACATTAAATCCTTCAGATAAATGACCAAGGTACGGCAGGATTCAAAAACAGAGCCAGGCGTGGAAAATTTGGATTTAGTAATAAGATTGATAATGTTAATCCTCAGAGGTAAAAGGACTGAGTTAACAATTAGTAAATCATCGTGAAATTGCCAGCTCAAGTAATTTCTAGAGCAAAAAATTGCCTTACATCTGCTGGTTCCAGCTCTCCTGGACAATGTTGATGCTATACTGCCTTATTTTGGTAATGGATGAAAAGTCTTAGGGGGTTTGTCTGTTGGTTGAAAAGGCCATTTTTGGGCCCCATCCTTGACATAATGAACCATCTTGCAAATATTTGGCAGATAGTCAATACTGACAATAGTTATGAACTTGGTTAATTGTTAATTTTAACAGTGGACAATATTCCTTAAAGACCCATACACATTTAATACTAAAGCACTGACATTTCTTTCATTATTGGAGCATAGACTTGTAGGTAATAGACAAAGCTATAATATTTGCAGCAGGCGAATAGAGCTGCTTCTACATTGCACATATAGATGGCACAGCTGCAATTTGGGTCCTATTTTTTTTACAAGGAACATGCAAGATATGCTTCATTGTTTACTTTCTACTAGCAAATGGCTAAAATTGAGTGGAAAGTAGACCGTGCTCTCTCTTTAAAAGATGGGAGAGAGATCAGATTTCCAGAGGACTCTATATTTGTATGTACCCATACAATAAAAATATAGACCTGATCAGATAAATAAAAATGTTTGAGATTGAAGTTGGAGAGTGATAGGATGGTGTGTTAGACATTAGCTCTAAAACATGTTGCATCATTTTCCTCAAGATGAAATAAAAGGAAAATGCCTTTCTGGATCAATCTTTGACAGTTCTGCTCTAAGCAATTTCAATATACTGTATAGCAGAGTACATCATTAGGAAATCAGAACATTTAAAACAATTAAGCAAGCTGTGTTTTACTGAAGATTTTATTTATTAATTCTATTTGTGCTTTTTATAACTTAATAGCACATGAACAAACTGAATCCCGACCACCCTTGAAAACTGACAATGTGAGCAGTGCTGCCGCCCCCCCAGTGACAGGTTGGATGGGAAAGGATACAGTTTTAAAAGGATAGAAAAACAAAGAAAAGGCACAACCAGCACTCGCTGCATCCCCTGGAGTTGTCTTGAAACGCTCCATTCAGTCACTTCTAAGGAAAAGGGCCACAAGGGGAGGAATACTACACACTTCAGTTACTCATCAATCCAACATTTCCCAGCTACAGTAGCCGTTTCTCAGTGCACTTTAGGGGGGAAAATTAAAGTTGGATGTGACAAAGGAATGCTACCAGCTTTTGGTGACTTTCAGTTAAACTTCCCATACCAAAACAAAACAGAAAAAAAAGCTATATACAGGGAGAATAAGATTCTTTCCCGTGGTCTGTACAATTGGGCCTATACAATATTTACTGCGCACATCCTAATACAAATAAAATAAAAAAAAAAAAAAAAAAAAAAAAAAAAAAAAATCACTCAGCCAGCAAAACAAACTGCCATCACTTGTCTTCCTATTTCTGCTGATAAGCATCTTCAAAAGCAGTGACTTAAAGGTTGAAGACAAAGCATGGCATGGTTACACTGTCCAGGTCTGTGCACTGTCTTTCAAATTAAAGTTCACATTTTTATGGTAAAGAGGAAGTGGAGCTGGGCAAAAGAAAAAAAAAAAATCCTGCTATCCAGCCTTTTGTCTTTTTCTCATGGCCTGAACTCCAACTCATCTACACTTATGACTTTAGCTGGCATGGAGGGGAGTGGCTGTTCTAGCATGTCTGATCCAAACCACTTTGAGAGGCCAAGAGGGGGGCTACCCCCGTGTTGCTGGGGGCCATTTGTCCGGTGAGGGCCTTGGCTCTGTGACTGAGGCCCTGGGATGCTCGGATGTACTGCAAGATGACACAAAAATACAACTTCGTCAAGAAAAAAAAAAGGTAGAGGTTTTTGTGACACATATCTTATTCAGAATGATATCCCTGTAGTTTCAGTTTGAGGGTGTACATTATTACTGCACAAATGACCCTCACCTTATAGTTCTACAAACATCTAGTAGCAACAATCTATTGTTTATAATGGAAGTCTATGTTTGATGAGAAAGTCCTACTTGCCCTGTACTTGAAAACCTTCAGTCATTTTGTCATCACTCATACTCACTGGGTCTTTGTTGCTGAAGTTGCTGCTGCATTACTGCCAACGGCATCTGAGTGTTGGCTCTGGGAGGTAGTAGTGGATGCCCTGTTGCACTTAGAGGGTACAGCGGTTGTCCAAGCAAGGCAGGAGGCAAGCCTTGAAGTTGTGCAAGATCAACATGTGGGGGAAATATACCTGGAATGAATAACAGAGAGATAATCAACTTATGAAGTCCAGGTTCGGGTTAATATTACAAAACAGTTAGATATTAAAAAGTTGAAATATAAAACAGGAGAATATGGGAAACTTAAGGCCAAAACCAACCTGCTTGCACAAGAGCAGGTCCAAGTTGCTGGGGCTGGATACCCTGGGCCAGCATTCGTTGTACCACATTTGGGTGCAGCTGGGGAGGAGGGCGCACCATAGGTACATGTGATAGCAGCGGTACGGGGTAGATGGGACGTGGGAAAGATGAGGTCGGTCCTGGAGGAACCATTGTGGGCGTATGGTGTCCAGTGGAGCCGGATCTGAGACGCTCATGGTCCTTGTTTTGCAAGTTCTGGGAGCCAGCTTTTACTGCCCCAGTCTGGACAGCATTCCCATCCATTGCTTCCAGGTACAGATTTGGTGAGCTGCTGTCTGTAATATTTACATAGCACAAATCAACAATTAACAATGTTTATGTACCTCAACTAACTCAAGATATTGTAAGTAGAAATTCATTCTCTGTACCATCATGAGAGTGTGAAGTTGCGTCCTCCTTGGTCTCTGAACGACCTGACGATTCATCTCTGCTTTTCTCTTTTGTAGCGTACATTTTGCGGATCACAGATGTGGGTGTGAATGATGGAGACAACTGGAGCACAAACAGATCACATTAATGCCATCGAAACAATTGGTTGCTATTTAAAATGTACTCTGGGACGGCTCGGTCGATAAAGTTTATGCTAACCATGCTGGTGACAGGGTTGCCTGGTGAGTTTCTTCCAGCAGGCTGAGGGCCAGGACCAGGGGAGCGATTTACATGCTGTAATCTGTGGATCACAAGCATGTCAGCTGTAGATAACTATAAAAAAAGGTAACCAATCCATTTTGTTATCACGTTTATGTGAACCATATGCTCTATAACTGGTAAATTAAAAAAAATATATAGTTGAATATGAAGTTAGCCAAAAGGCATTAATTATATTAATCATTCAATTCAACAGTAATTTCACTATTGAGGACATTTGTTTTTACACAAATCTCACCTATTTCGAAAAGACTTGTCCTGTGGTTGCTTGAAGCCAGACTGGAATGCGTGGTGTGCATGTAGAGCGAGGTCTTGTTGGAATGCCAAGGCTTCCAGGTCTACATGATTAACTGGCATAGAGAGCGCCCTCATCTGGACAAACAAAATCCAAACAACTTTAGACAAAAACTTGGTGACCAGACGATGTGACAGATCTTAGACACAAACTAGAGGAAGCTATTGGTGCCATCAAACAGGGGAGGAGAAGCACACTGTTGTGTTTACAAACCACTACTACAAATCGTTCGTATTCTGCATTAACAATGGATTACATTTATTTTGAAATAATTTAAGTCACGCCATTAATTTACCAGCAAAGCAATTAATCAAAGTTTACATGTCCAAAGATGCAACATACCTGAAGCTGTGCAGCAGATCTTGGGCTTAGAGACCTGTGTACTTCAGCATACTGCTCTGGTAACATAGGTGGAGGACCAACAGGAAAACCTAGAAGTTCAGGAGAGAAACATTTTTTTTTAAATGACGCAGCTTATTTCACCAGCACATACAGAATTAAAAAAAACATCTTTTAGATTTGTTTCACTCTTGGCCTGTGTCCACCAACAGTGCTTTTTGTGCTGGAAGCGCTCAAAACCTCTATTTCAGAGCATTCATTGTTGCTAGGTTATGAAAGTTAACTTCTGCTTCTCTGTGTAACCAGTAGGTGTATTTAAGATAGCTCTGTGTGCTTAATATTTGCTATAATTGAAGGAAATATCACCAAGAAAAAGAAAAAGAAAAAAACTTTAGAACAATGTGAAGTTTACACTGGTACTCTTAAATGTTCTTGGAAGGATTTTCTTTCAAAGAACTTGCCTGTTGAAGATTGCAGCCGACTGTTGTAGTAGTCAGGTGAGGGTGCCCTCTGTGGGAAGAGGGGAGGTGAAGGTCCCTTGTGTAATAAACCATGAAGCGGGACAGAGGTGGTCGGGCCTTCAGAGCTTCCCATCAAATTTCCAAGTAGTGTAGGGGAGGCACTACGAGCTGGACCTCCCAAGAGCTCCTGAAACACAAATGTAAAATCTAAATCACAAGTAAATTTAAACGTTCTTGCTCTTGTAGTTTAAAATGTTGATGTCAATCTTATATCAATAAGTAATAATATAATATTACTTGGTATGTACAAGAGATTTTTTGATGCCGTCTAGTTCCATTTAGAATTTGTCATGCTACCTCACATCAATAAAATATATTTTTTAATATGCGCAGACATTTCGGAATTCCAGTAATGAGACA